ACTTTAAACAGCGAAGGTCCCTTTAATAAACTTTATAAAAGAATCATTAAAGTTTTTGTTGAAAAGCAAAAAAAAAATACAAACCTTTTTGAAAGTTATTTGAATTAAATAACTTTGATCTTTACTTATGTTTTTATATTGCATTTAAATAAAGTAGGACATTTAAATAAAGTAATAAATCACTTCTAATGATCTTTTATAGAAACATTAATAAATAATATATATTTTTAATATTATATAAGTATTTATTTTTTATAATAAATGTTTTTAAATAAAAAAAAGTTATATCAATTTTTTAAATAAATGATTTAATTTTTTTTTTTTTGTGCGAAGATTTGTTAAGAATATCTTTTTAAACTTTTAAATGCGCACATTTATTAAACAATCGTCAATTGTTAGTAAGTTGTTACTTTATTTAAAAAGGGTTAAATAAAAACATTAGTAAAGATAAATAATTAAATAAAAACATCAGTAAAGATAAAGATAAAATGAAAACTTTTAGTATTTAAAAGTTAAAGTATTTAAAAGTTAAAGCATTATATTTTTTCAACTTTTTTTTAAAAATTAACTCTACGTAGCGTGATGGTTGTAATGCTTACTTTTTACCACTTCTGAACAAAACAACTAGTAAGTAGGCCATTTATTTAGTATCCAATGTCAATTTCTTTCTTCAATGTGGCATGCAAACTCCACAGGGAAGTTTAGTAAAAACTATTTACTGATCAAAGAGTTGATCATTTTTAGATCTAAACAAATAATTCAGTTGTGTTTTGGATATTTACTTAAATTAAGAGCCATTTTAATGTTTCTTGCAAATAAACAAAATGACCTATAAGGACAAAACCAAAAGTTTTGCCGCCAAGATATTTTTTTCCTTTTAACCAAGAATCTAATAGTTCTGCTGTTTGCTTAGAAAGTCTAAATTATAAACCAAGTCATTTTTTGTGTGTGTTTTGGTTGGTAGAACAAGACATGACAGCTTGTTTGAATGGTGACAGTAACATTTCAAAAAGAGAAAGATTAAGACTATAAGAGGCTCAAGTTTAGCTGCTAAAGCTATATTTATTATATACATTTTTAGAACTTGTTTAATTAAGAAAGAACTTCATTACAAAAACCAGCCTAAAATGGAATACTATAGTATTCCATGTGTGGAATGTTTATAAAGAATGAAAATGAATCAGGATGATGAAAGAATATCAGAAAAATTGAATGGAATCAGGATGATGAAATAATATCAGAAAAAAAGAATCAGGAATATATATATATATATTTTATATATATATATATATATATATATATATATATATATATATATATATATATATATATATATATATATATATATATATATATATATATATATATGTATATATATATATTTTATATATATATATATATATATATATATATTATATATATATATATATATTTTATATATATATATATATAAAAATCTCAACAAAACGTTAAATTATTTTTAAGTGTAAATTGTTTTTATATATAAATTTTTAAATAAATTTGTATTTATTATTAACAAATTTACATCTTAATTTTTATTTCTTATATTGCTTATATGTTTGTTTTTATATTTTATAAAAAGGGGATGGAGCTGAAACACAGTCTATAGAAGTATCAAGTGAAACTACATTAACTTCAACCCAACAAACCCGAAGTGACACTGATGGATATTTCTCAACAACAGAAGTCTCAGAAACAGAAGGCGAGGAAGATGATGAAGATCCAGAAGATGAGGATGAAGACGAAGAGGAAGAAGAGGATGATAACACTACTCAGTTAGATCTTGAGCGTGCTCCCCCTGCTACAAGTATTTATTTTTTATTTTTTAATCAATAAAGTGTTTAACAAATATTTTTTTACTGCTTTAATGCAATAAGATTATTATTTATAATACTGTAATTAATATTATTATTAATAAAATCATTATTTAAACAAGCATTTGAATAGTTTTTTTTGTTTACTTTAACTTTTTTAGCATATACTATTTAAGTTTATTCAGTTTTAGTATAATTGTTTATTCTAGTTTTATTTTAAATTAAGAAAATGTTTTTAATTCATAAAAAATAACATTTTTCTTTTGAAAATGATTTTTTTTTCCCTAATGTTTTTCATAATAGTAAAATGATTGTTTATGAAATTTATATCTAATTTTGTTTTGTTTGAGATATATCCTATAATGGTCTTTATTGATAAAACAAAAACAAAAAAAAGTTTGATTAGTGATTTTCTACTAATTCATTATTGCTCTGTTTTTTTAATTTTGATCACTCTGTTTTGTAGAATACATTTAAAGAATACAAGATTAAGTATATATTATTAGAATACACACAATAGAAATAGTTGAAAAGGAAATAGTGGTATCACTTGTCATGATACCACTATTTCCTTTTCAACCTTTTCTTCTCCTCCCCTTCCCCATCTTCTACATGCATTCTTCCTATATATAATAAAATATAAATGTATATAAAAATATAATCCTTATAATTAAAAATATTTAAAATGCTTTGTAGTGTAAAAAATGTTACTCAAAAAAGTTTATCTAATTTAATCCCACAAAGGTATAGCTGATAACAGCAATACAACTCCGCGCGTTTTGCAATGGGCTGTTCGAGACACTTCTTCCACAACGCCATCAACATCTGGATCTACTCGTGCCACTTCATCAGGTGTTTACTATATTGATACTTCACGCAGATCTGGAGCTAGTGCAACTAGTGATGGTGCTTCAACCTCACTTTTCTCAACACCAAGTGCATTAGCAAGGACCTTTGCTATTCTTGTTAGAGAGGTATTTAGATTTTCTTTAAGAAATAATGTAAAAATATGTTTTATAATGTGTAATTTTGTCATGTGCAATTTAATGTGTTTATTTTAATGTGTTATCTTCAATAGGAAGTAGCTATGGCACATAAAATAACTTTTTTTGAAAAGTTGAAATTATCTAGTCTACAGCATCTTAAAGGAGCAGCTGTTTTATATAGTATATTGTTTTCAGCTTTATATAGCTGCTGATGTTCTTTTTAGTATTTTAGTTTCTTATCATAACAAGAGCAAGTTTTTTTTCTTGATAATAATGCATTTTTTTTTGGATAATTATGATAATTTATTATAATTTTTCATTTCTAGAGTTGTGATACATTAAATTGTTTTAGTAAACATGTTGTAAAATATCATCCTTTTGATCAATCAGATATTTTTTTATGCTTGCAATCTACTTGCACAATTTTTCTAAATGTTATTATTTGAAAATAATTTTTCATTTTTCAAAATTAAAAATTACAAGTATTATTTGTAAATGAAAGGATGTTTGAGTTAAAGCCTTTTTTCATATGTTAACCAGAGCTTTAATATTAGACAGCTATTGTCTTGTTGCTGAAGGTAACCCTATTCCATACATTTAAAATCTCAAGTTTTTAATAGTTTTTTCAATTTTTTTTTGAGGCATTAAATTTTTAATATTTTTTGAGCTAGGACATAAATGGGTGGGATTTATATATTTATTACATAAAACCGCTAAAAATTTGGCAGATCTTGTTCGTATAAAAAAAATAAGTATGTCAACTCATATTAAATGAAAATTTATAATCATTTTATAAATGTCTTAAAAACAATTAGTCAAAAAGAAAAAGAAAAAAATGTCTTTTATTTTTCACCAAAAAATGAAGTTTTTATGCAATCAAATTTTTTTCTTTATTCAAGATTCAGGTTGATATACTTTTTAGTAGTTTTTTGTTGTTTATGATATTAGGTATAAAAGCCTTCATATATGGCTATTTTATATTTTATCAGCGACAATCCATGTGAAACTAAGTATACATTTAATCATGCACATGCACACACTAGGGGTCCTATAAGACAATATTTTTTGAAAATTATTTTCTTACAATATCTAATTGTCTTTCATAATCAAAATAAAAATAGATTTTGAAAAATTATTTTTTAAAAGTTAGTTATAACTATCCCAACCCGTTAGTTTTAATCTAAAAAAAATTTTCAATAGTTACAAAGTTCTTAAAAATGTGCAATTAAATAATTCAAAAATAGTTTTTTTAAATGATATTTGATGAGTAGATTGAAACATCCTTTATTTAGTAATTAATCAAAAACTGTTACACAAATTTAAATTTTTTTTTTGCACATGGAAGCAAATGTGTTGTTGTTTGATTCTAAAGTTAAGTATGGGTTATCATTGTTATTGGATTAAAATGAGTAAGAAAATATTCAGTCGAATAAATAAGTTTTTTTCAAAATCCTTCATTATCAAAAGTTAACATACCAAAATTGACCGATGTTTCTTCATCATCAATTGGATTCAATTAGATTTAAACAGATTCAATCTATTGAAAGAGATGCTGTAAGCAAAACAAAGAAAAGATTTAAAGATAAATATATTGCAAAATCTATTATTTGATTGATAAAGGCAAATCTCTATCAGTCGCAGAGAGATCTTATGAGAAAATTTAAATGCAGACAGAATTTAAATTTAAATGCTTTGATAGGAAAAGTATTTGGATAAAGCATATCATAAAATAAAATCTCTAAAGCAATCAATTGGTAGAAAAAGTAAACCAATTCATTTTTCAAAAAAACTATATAAACTTTTAAACCAAAAAAAATTGTGCATAATTGAAGACTTTGAACACCCATTTGCAAACAAAAGAATATTTAAAGAAATTTCTTTTTGGTAATTATTAAAAAGCATGAGATGCTCACAATATTTTGGCCTGATTTGGCTGCAATTCACTACTCCAAGAATCTTTAGAATGGTATGAATAAAATGGTGTAGAGATTGTATCTAAAGAAGAAAATCCTCCAAATTGTTTTGAGCAGCATGTTATTGAAATTTGTTGGTCAATTATAAGAGAAATCTTATAATTGACAGCATGTTATAGAAATTTGTTGGTTAATTATAAGAGAAATCTAAAAAGCAAAATATTAGCTTCAAATTAAAAAAATATTTAACAAAAAATGAATCAAAAAAGTTAATAGTTTAAATAGCTTTAAACTCAAAGGACTATTGAAGATGATGTCAAGTACCAGTAAAAGAAAGAAATAAAAAAATATAAAAAGTTATTGAAATAAATAATTCATTAATAGCTTAATCAAGTCTTCCCGGTAAGCGCGTGATATTGCACCCCTTGTTCATTCATGTTTAAAGTCATTTTTTTAGACACACTGACCATGGCAGTTAGTATTTTTTAAATTATAAAGCGTTTCAATAATTCGTGGCAAAAAGCTAAATTTATCTACTGAGAAAAAAACAATCTTTAAAAAAAAAAATTGTAAGTTTTAATTAAATAAACTAGAAAACTTAATAATTAAAAAAAAAAAATTAATAATAATAATTTTCTTTAAAATTTTTATACAACTATTGTTGTATAAAAATTTTAAAGAAAATTATTTTTATTAATTTTGTTGGTTGTTGTTTTTTTAGAGTGGTTGTTGTTTTTTTAGAGTGGTTGTTGTTTTTTTAGAGTGGTTGTTGTTTTTTTAGGGTAGTCGTTGTTTTTTTAGAGTGGTTGTTGTTTTTTTAAAGTGGTCGTTGTTTTTTTAGAGTGGTTGTTGTTTTTTTTAAAGTGGTTGTTGTTTTTTTAGAGTAGTTGTTGTTTTTTTAGAGCGGTTGTTGTTTTTAGCTACAGAATTTAACACAACCTGATAAAAAAAATATCTTTTATAAAAATTTAACAATAATTGAAAGTTTTGATATGCAATTTATTCATGATTTTTATCAGTCCGTATAATTAAGAAACTAATTTGCTATGTACGCTAGAACAATGAGAAATTTTGTTAATTTCTTATGATCGTTTATTCGTTTTGACGTCTTTTCGCTTTTAAAAATGTTTTAAAAATGCTATATTTTATGTTTTTTTGTCAATACTTATTTAAGAGGAGTTTAAGAAAATAAATTGCTATTTATTTATTTATTTACATATTATATATTTGAAGAACATATTATTTGACTAAAAATTTTTGTAATGGCGGAATAAATTAAATAAAAGAATGACATGTTTCTTTTATATATGAATTTACCGCATTTGATGCATGTCTGAAATTGTTTCTTTTATATTGCCCAATTTCCAACATTAATACGAATTACTATAGGTAACGAACTTAACAACTGCAATGTTTAAAAAAATGTATTTAAAAGTTTTAAAAAGTGTTTTAAATAGGCTCCTTAAACTTTTGTTAAAAAAGTCTAGAAAATAAACAATGCACTAGCCCATAAGATTTTGGAGCATCATCAATAACAATAGTTCATCAGGAAATAAACAATTGGTTTTAAATGCACAATTTAGTCGATCAAATAAAAGTGAAAAATATTTCAATGGGGATATTGAGTTCAACTAAATATTTTATTTTTATATTTTTTAAATATTTTTGCAAATAAATAGCAGTTAGTTTTCTTGCTTTTTTTTTACAATAATAGCAATTAGTTTTCTCGCTATTTTTTTTACAAACAAATAGCAATTAATTTTCTCCCTTTCCTGTGCATTGATAAAAACAGTAAAGTTTAGCAAAAATGTTTGAACAAGTTTTGTTTTTTTAAACAAGTTTAAAAATTGTCGATGTTTCTAGTGCAAATAATAAATAATTTTCTTAATATACCGACTGAAAAAAGATATTAAAAATATTTTCCTTATATACTTATCTACTTTTTTCCTCGATTTGTATAAATTTTGGTAGTGGAAATTAACAAACCCCCTAAAAATACGAAATCAAAAACAGTAAAGTATTTAGGTATATTATTTTTTTGACAACATTTTTTTTTTAATATTCATTTTTTTTAGCTAACAATTCTATTTCGTTTAGTCTTTGCTTCCTTTCTTTGATTATTTCTTCGATTATTTCTTTGATTTATTTCTTCGATTATTTCTTTGATTATTTCTTTGATTATTTCTTCATTTATTTCTTTGATTATTTCTTTGATTATTTCTTCGATTATTTCTTTGATTATTTCTTTGGTTTATTTCTTCGATTATTTCTTCGATTATTTCTTTGATTATTTCTGCGATTTTTTTTTCGAGTATTTCTTCGATTATTTCTTTGATAATTTCTTCAAGTATTTCTTCGATTATTTCTTCGATTATTTCTTCGATTATTTTTTTCGATTATTGCTGTTTTTTTTTCTCTTGTTTCTTATAGTTTATTTTACTGTAAATTCTTAAAACGGTTTCAATGATAAAAACGTGACAAGTTGTCTAAAAAAATTACTTTAAGCGCGGACGAACAAATCATGCAACTGCACGCGCTTCCCGGGAAGGCTTGTTAATTGTTTTTAAAAATTACAAAAATCTATTGAGTTTTCGAGTAAATAACAATTAGAGGGTGCTGAATTTCATCATGTTTAACTAATATATTGTATATTTTGAATATATTTTTAATTTATTTTAAATGAATATCATTCAAATATATTTATTATTATTAATTAACTTAGGTTTCTGACTTGCTGGGACAAACTTCTGAAGATAATAGTCTAGCAGGCCCTTGCTACCCTATCGAAGATAATATATTAAAAGAAACTCGTGATACAACAGATAAAATTTTGTTTAAAACATGGCAATGGTTATGGAGGGTCATGGAGCTTACTGAATCACAATTAAGGTATATGAGATATATAAAATGATTAATTTTAATAAGTTGTTAGTTTTAACACTGTTTTAAAATTAAATTTAAATGAAAATGGAACAAAGCATAAAAAAAAGGAATATATGTTTTCATAAATACTGTATTTATTTATAAATAATTATTTTACAATTTATTATACATATTTGATTGTTTAAAATTTATTAATTTGAAAATAAAATTTAGTAATTTAAATTAATTTATTAAATAAAGTTTAATAATTTGAAAAAAAAATGACTTAAGCAAGTAACACTGTTTTATCAATAAAAACTAAAATACCTATCATGCATCATGATTACATCAAATTATATTGTTTAAGGTTTGGTGCATCGCTAACAGCAGTTTCAGATCCAATGCATCCTCAGCATCCACTGCACGATGTTCAAAATAAACCTTCTAGAGGATCTAGTTCTACTAGTATTTTGAATGTTTGGAGTGAATACAGCAAGAAAAAGTATTAAACATTTTTGTGTTAAAGTTTTATTTTTTTGATAATTTTTTTTTTTTAGTCTATACTTTGTTTTTAAATTTTTGTAAAACTAAGTGTTTAGACAATCAAGGATTTTATTTTTTAGCAAAATTACTATAAGCTTTTCTTTTAAAGAGCTTATTTTTTTATTAATAAAATCTAAATATTTATAATTTATATAATATCTTATATATTATTGCTGAACTCAATAGTATTAGTTCCCACTCATAAGTGTTTGACATGGAACTCTCTGCAGCCATTGCAACCTAGGTAATGGCAAGAAAATGTGAATAAATATGTATGTAAATATCTAACTTATGAACCTAATTCCGAGTGCTAGACTTTTTCTTTTGAAATAAATAAACAAGGTGAAGGCTCTAATAAGCCCTATGTATGCGGAAAAAGTGTGTATAAGAGCCATTCATTAGTGTTTTTTCCTACCATTTACTAATGATTATTAAAGTAAATAATTAAAGAAATGGTCGGTTTGGAATAGACTTACCAAGACCAGTATTTTATGGGTCCGAACAGCTTGTACCTATTTTTCATATATAAGTTCAACTTTATTGCTATGCAATGAAGCTGCACTTATTTAGAGAATCAGTTTAAAAAGTGTTGATGTATTGCAATTGGTATAAGAGATTTATTTGTTTTTTTAATAAAATTTTAAAATTTCATTTGATCAATTGAAAGTCCTGTTTGCTATATATTTGCTATATATTAGTATGAGACTATTGTAAGAAAAATCATCTCCAATTGAATTATTTCCAAATTGTATAATTTTCTAATTGAACAAACTATTTTCAACCTAAAGCTTTAACATTGACTTTATCATAATAGGTAATTTTGAGATGTTATGGTCTTGCACAAGTACAATTTTTTGCTTTAAATATATACAGCAAGATTAAAAAAATTTAAAAATTAAGGTTTGAGGTTCAAACAGCCTAACAGCCTTGTTTATTCAAACAACCAACAGCCTTGTTTAACAATGTTTCAGAGTTTAGTTTAGTTTTCAGAGTTTCAGACATTAAAAATTTTTCATTTTCTTCAAATTTATTAAAATAATAGCAAAAATTGCTCATCAGTTATTTAATTTTTGCTTTTTATTTTGACTTCAGAAAAAGCAGCACTAATCCTCTAACTGATACCTCATCATCTACCCGACAAGATTTTCTCAGTTATCTTTTGTCACTTATGCGTAGTCATCACAATGAACATGGAGATTCTTTACCTAAAGTAGAAATAACTGCTTTGCAGCATCTTGCATATGTTCTTGATGCATTTATATATTACTTACGCTCAAATACTGTTTCTTCATCAGAAGTTATATTACCAGCAGAATTTTCTCTCACTGAATCAAAATCTACAAATGAAAGGTAAAAATATTTTATTTTAGTCTTCAATAATATATATATATATATATATATATATATATATATATATATATATATATATATATATATATATATATATATATATATATATATATATATATATATATATATGCATACAAATATTTTATTTAAATTTATAAAAAATAAAAGTTTATATAAATAAGGATACATTGTTCTAGTAAAACAACAAAAACATCAGGTGAGGATGATGAGAGCGATGAAACAGATACTGATGATTTTGGAAATGAAATAGACACAAAAGCCTCTAATCATCGATTTTTCAAGCGAAGTGATTCTACACTTGTGTTAGGTAAATTCATAACTGTTAAAATCATAACAAAATATTTTAAATGACATATTGTATAAATTTTTTTTACAAATAATTTCTAATAAAATGGTTTACTAAATAATATTGTTTTATTTAGTTATTTTTTTAGTTCTTTTTAAAATACTTTAGTTTAATTTTGTTTCTTAACCTATTTTTTTTGGTCAAATTCCTTGCCTTTGCTTTTTAGTTATATTTTTTTTTTACTTATTTTCAGAAAAAGCTGCACATGCTTAGAACTCATATGCATATTTTTTTTTTTTACTTTTTTTTTTAATGCATATTATTTTTAACATAATTGTTTAAGGATATTAATTTAGTTATTTACTAATTGTTGTTGTTTCAAATGTTTATATAATTACAACTATATATAACAAATAATCATTTTCATATTGAAGAATACGTAAAATATATATCTTGTATAAATCTAAATTAACGAAGTAGATTTGCCACAGGATCAACTATGTTGGCACAGTAAACTGAGAAAACAAGTTGTTTAAAATAATTAAGATATAAGTTCTTAAAAAAAATTTATTGAGCTTGCTAATTGCTAACCTTTAATAATTTTTTATTTGCCATGAAAGAGTGCTCCAGTGTTTAGTTACTCTGTTTGTACAAATTTTTCAGGCTCAATACATCTGTATACTAGTTTAGACAAAAGTTAATGTAAATGTTCATAAATGTGGTGAGTGATAAAACCCACATCTATATTAGGTCACCTTGTATCCTCAGGTTCTTGAGTGATCCTCGTATCCTATGGTTCTTGAGTGAAATTTTAGTCTTTGCAATCTTTTGTTGTACATTAGATGTTTTGCCTTTGATTTTGATCTTTGATCCCATAAGATGTGAAGTGATTTTCAAATCTTATCACATCATCATCTGTCTTATCTTTTTGCATCATCTTGACTGTTGCAATAAATCATAAAATAGTTTGTGTTTTTTTTTTAATTTTGTTTTAGATTTTAAATTCTATAATTTTAATCTAAGTTATGTAATTTTTTAAAAACTTTGTTTAATCAATTTTAAACATTCTCATCGCTATAAAATTTAGGTTATGAACCTGCTGATTCATTTGCTCCTCTTAAAGAAGCTCTTCCTCTCGCTGATCGACCACATTTGTTAACTCCATCTGGAAGAAGAGATCAATTTTTTGGTGTAAAAAAGTCTACAGACAGTAGTTTCAAACTCGATTCTACATTTTCGTTGGGTTTAAACGGTAAGTACTTTTATTTGAGGTAAATTATTTTTAAAAAATCAAAATTTATTCTGTAGTTTTATTAAAAGAAAATTTATTCAACAAAAATATACACATTTTCAGGGGTGTACCCTCATGGTCATCCGGTGGCATGGGATGACTCAAATTTTCTCAAAGGGCAACTGGAGTTAAAAAAGTTGCCTGTCAGTAGCCTGGCAGGATGACCAGACAGTTTGTTACTTAGAAAAGCGTGTTACTTAGAAAAGCGCAGTTTGTTATTTAGAAAAGCGTGCCAGACAGGAAACAGATATTGACTACGACACCAATGACAATCTTTAAAAGTTGTATTTCAAGTTATCTCTTTACCAATATCTCTTTGCATCTATAGTTATTAAACAATATTTTTTAGCATGACAGTTCACTTTTTTTTTATTAATCAATTTACTTTAATTGTATTTTAGTAGTTAAACGTTTAAATTTTTTTCTTCAGTATTTTCACCTGAGAAAAAAATACCCCAAAATAGTTATTATACTGGAATACTGTTTATTATAGCAGGCGTAAGAAATAAAAAGTAAGAAATAAAAACTATTTCAGTCGCCCCCAGGGCAACCAAGAAAAAACCGGAAGTTAGTAAAATGATTAATAGTAAAATATTATATATTATTGTATTGTATTTTAATAAAAATTTTATTTTTAAATTTTTTGTAAAAATTTGTTTATTTTATGTAAATATAGTCTAAAAAAAGTAAACTAGTAACAAGCATTTATTCTCTTAATTTAACATTCGAAAATTATGCATTCAAAAATGTAAATATTTTGAATTCAGAGTTTTATAACCAAGCTATTTATGCTTGATATAAATTTCAAGATTATTTATTGATCTTTTAAATTATATTGCATTTTTATTTATAAAGTAATTCCTTATTAAATTTTTATTAAAGTATTCCTTGGCTTAAATTTGTATTATTATTATCTTTTTTTATTAATAATAGTTTTTATTTTCAACAGATTCAACAAGTTGTGTTTTACTTATGTCACCCAATGTTTACTTAAGTCGTTGGCACATGTGTTTAGAGTTATTTGGCAGAGTGTTCTTAGATGATGTAGGGTCTGAGCCTCATTCAATACTAAATGAGCTAGGTCGATTTGATGTCAAAGAAGCAAAGTTTAAAAGAGAAATGGAAAAGTTGAAAAATGGACACCAAAAAGATTTATATCTTGAAGGGGTATAATATGCTTTGATTTTTGATTTCAAAAAAACATGATGTAAGCAGGGTTGGCATTAAAAAACCTGCCCAATAAAACCCAAAAAAACCTGTCTAAAAAAACCTAATAAAACCCTGGAAAATCTGGGTTTTATTGGGTTTTTTTAAAGATATTTATTAAGTTTATGAACTATTATAACCAACTTTAACATTATAACTATAATATTATTAACTAAAATAATTATTAACTATTATTATTAACTTTATTATTATTAACTATTATTATTAACTAAAATATTATTAACTATTATTATTAACTATTATAACCAACAATAACAGCTATCAGAGCAGGTTTACTATTATTTGAATCATTATTTGGAAATACATTATTACAATTTTTATTCAAATATTTTTATTTATTGAGATTTTTATTACTTTATGTTATTCACCTCCCAAGTTGAATTTAAATGAGTAGTAGTGACCAGAGAAGCCAACAGTCGAGGAGGCTACCTTGTTGTGGTTACAATCCTCTCTCAACTCTTATGCAGTAGTGGTGTTGTGGTAGAGTGCTCGCTTCATAAGTGAGAGGTTCCGAGTTCGATCCCCACTACGTCCCTAGCAGTACCGCGCTTAACTCCTTTCTCCGCGCAGCGGCCTTGTTCGTCAAGGTTCGTGTTTTGGAGTTATAGAGTTGAGAGAGGGTTATAACCACAAATAAATAGCCTTCTCGCTTGTAGTGGCCTTAAACCTTGAGGAGGTGAATTGATTAAAACAAAAAACAAAAAAAAAAAACTCTAACTCCTAAACACGAATCCTTATAAACAAGGCCGCTGCGCAGAGGAACAAATTTGTTTATTTGAATTTCAAGTTCAAAGTTTAATTGAAACTTCAGTTACTACCTCCCATTCTCTAGCCTTCTTTTTCCCATTTTCTCATTGACATTTTTAATTATATAGAATAATACTTTTAAATTTAAAATAAATCAATACATATAGGTAAAGCGTGAAATTTTTTTTTCTATCAGAGTTTTAAATTATATTTAAAAATCTTTTTCAAAATAATTTGAAAAATTCTTGTTATGAATAATTAAACAACAATATATAAAATATATTTTAAATAAAGTTAAAGTAGAAAATGAAACTAATTTTTAATATATTTATTTTTCAATATATTTATTATTATATATATTTTCAATAACAAAAACACAAAATTTTTTTTTGCAGGGACAAAATAAAAATTAAACCCAAAAAAACCCAAATTTACCCAATAAAACCCAAAAAAACCCACTGGGACGGGTTTTTAAAAAAAAACCCGGGTTTTTGCCAACCCTGGATGTAATTGAGTACTGTATAAATAGGTGGGTGAATTAATAATTAGGTGGTTGTTTATAAAAGGGTATTTGTTTAAAAGAGAAAGTAATAATTTTTTTAATTATATGTATAAAGTACTACAAAAAGTTTCTACAAAATTTGAAATTAAATGTAAAAAAGACTACAATATTTATGATTTACAATTTTTATGATTTACAATTTATTTAAATTTGCTTGAAAGCTTTATATAAAAAATTACTTTTTAAGCTGGATCGTTCACGTCCACTGTTGTTACAACAAACACTGCGTCAACTAAACTCACAGTTTGGCCGTAGACTTCCAGGTGCTGGACCACTAAACATACATAGACTTAAAGTATCATTTAAAGATGAACCAGGTGAAGGAAGTGGAGTAGTTCGTAGTTTTTACACAGCAATCAGCAATGCTTTTCTTACAAACGAAAGACTTCCAAATCTTGATAACATCTTTTCTGGTAGTAGAGGTAGCTGTTATTTATTTAAAACATTTTTTTATAATTGTTTTATAATCAATTTTACAGGGGTGTGGAGTCGTAAAAAAAAAGTAACAACTCCAACTCCAGTTGTTGAAATTTTTTGAGCACAACTCCGACTCCAGTTGTTGAAATTTTTTGAGTACAACTCCGACTTCAGTTGTTGAAATTTTTTGAGTACAACTCCGACTCCAGTTGTTGAAATTTTTTGAGCACAACTCCGACTCCAACTCCGACTCTAGCTCCAACTCCAAAGCAACATTTTTAAAAAATTCTTTGAATTCTTAAAAAAATGTTACGCGATAATTTATAAATTTTTTTTTGGACAAATTTAAGAAACGTTCTTTAAGGTTTAGTATGAACATAAGGTTAATTGAATGTTTTGTACATGCACGTGTAATATTGGGAAATTTTACTATTGGAGTCGGAGTCGCGATTTTGTTTACCGACTCTGCTAAAAATGTCGCAACTCCGACTCTAACTCCACAGCCCTGCAATTTTAAATAACTTAAAAAGTTGTAACTGAAAATTTTCTGTATTCTAAATCTACTATATACTAAAAAGATTTAAAAAGCTTCGAGGTTTAGAGGTTTATATAGATAAAAATTAAAGTTAAGCAAGTTTTTTGGGAAGGTTTATTGTTAGTTGTCAAAAATTTTTTTTAATTTTTTAAAATTCTTTAAGATAATCAAAATTAAATAAAAATAAATTAATAAATAAAAAGTTTACAAATTCATTTATAGTACACAAAGTTGGTGTTAAAAAAATTTGGGAAAAATTTTTACTTGAAGCTCAAAATACTTTCCAGAAAATTAAACTACAATTTTAATGATTTGTTTAAAGTTTGTTTTGAAAATGTTTCATTGATTGTTGCGAAATGAATTCTAAAAACAGTTTTATGTCAAAAAGTTTAAAATCAGTTGTTTTTGTCAAAAAGTAGCATTCAATGGTTGTGGTATGGCTTAAGTAAATTCAAGCAATTATTTAAAAAAATTAAATAATATAAGAGCAAATAAATATTCTATAAAACTTTTATTACTTAGTATTCTGTTACTGAGAAGAATCTTGTAATTATATTTTACTAATAAAAAAATCATTATTATTTTAATAGTTTGTTCAAGTAATTGTTTCAAAATTTAATGCCCATATGTAGTTTTATTTGCACATTAGAATTTCCAGGTGTTTGAATATGGTGATGTTAACATCATTAAAAGATTAAATGTAATTGTTTTGTAGCCATGTCATTGTGAAAATTTATGTTCTTTAGTTTCAAAATGACTTTAGTAAAAGTTATAAACTAAGTATTTTTCTAAAATGTGAAAAAGGGATTCGTTATACAAGCTTCATATTATTTGCAAAGCACTGCATGCTTGGCAAATAATTTGAAGCTTGTATAAAAAACAATAAAATATTTTTCATTTTGTCAACTTTTCATAGAATTTCTGCAGTTAAAAAAAACTGTAAATCATTGTAATAGTTCAACATAAAGAAAGTTCCATCTCATTTTGTTTTCAAGAAAGTTCCATCTTATTGATTTTGTTTTCAAGAAAGTTCCATCTTATTGATTTTGTTTTCAAGAAAGTTCCATCTTATTGATTTTGTTTTCAAGAAAGTTCCATCTTATTGATTTTGTTTTCAAGAAAGTTCCATCTTATTGATTTTGTTTTCAAGAAAGTTCCATCTTATTGATTTTGTTTTCAAGAAAGTTCCATCTTATTCATTTTGTTTTCAAGAAAGTTCCATCTTATTCATTTTGTTTTCAAGAAAGTTCCATCTTATTGATTTTGTTTTCAAGAAAGTTCCATCTTATTGATTTTGTTTTCAAGAAAGTTCCATCTTATTGATTTTGTTTTCAAGAAAGTTCCATCTTATTGATTTTGTTTTCAAGAAAGTTCCATCTTATTCATTTTGTTTTCAAGAAAGTTCCATCTTATTGATTTTGTTTTCAAGAAAGTTCCATCTTATTGATTTTGTTTTCAAGAAAGTTCCATCTTATTCATTTTGTTTTCAAGAAAGTTCCATCTTATTCATTTTGTTTTCAAGAAAGTTCCATCTTATTGATTTTGTTTTCAAGAAAGTTCCATCTTATTGATTTTGTTTTCAAGAAAGTTCCATCTTATTCATTTTGTTTTCAAGAAAGTTCCATCTTATTGATTTTGTTTTCAAGAAAGTTCCATCTTATTCATTTTGTTTTCAAGAAAGTTCCATCTTATTCATTTTGTTTTCAAGAAAGTTCCATCTTATTCATTTTGTTTTCAAGAAAGTTCCATCTTATTCATTTTGTTTTCAAGAAAGTTCCATCTTATTGATTTTGTTTTCAAGAAAGTTCCATCTTATTGATTTTGTTTTCAAGAAAGTTCCATCTTATTGATTTTGTTTTCAAGAAAGTTCCATCTTATTCATTTTGTTTTCAAGAAAGTTCCATCTTATTCATTTTGTTTTCAAGAAAGTTCCATCTTATTGATTTTGTTTTCAAGAAAGTTCCATCTTATTCATTTTGTTTTCTTATTGATTATCAGAGTATGACAATCTGCTGCAATTCAATGCAATTAAAAAGAAATGATTGTGATAATTCTGATTTTTAAATACTATATATTTTCAAAATAAATCTTTAGCAAAATGTTTTTTTGGTGTAAAAATAAAATAAAATATAATGCAAAAATAAATTAAGAGTAAAAAAAAACCTTGTAAAAATTCTAACTCTTTCATACCTTTAAAAGTTTTGTTTGCATGATATTATTTGATTTTAAAATTGTATGATTTAATGCAGTTTAATTTTTTAACTTTAATAAAGTTCGTCTGAATAAATTGACAAATAGCCACTAAAGATATTTCTCCTAATATGTTTATATAAATTTGATTAATTTACTGATGCGATAGTGTTTATAGAATCGCAAAATTTTTTTAAAATAGTATTGCAAAGATTCAAAATATGTTTTTTGGCACTGGCTTTTTAATTCTTATCTGTTAATGATATTGGTGCGTGTAATGATATTGGTGCGTGTAATGATATTGGTGCGTGTAATGATATTGGTGCGTGTAATGATATTGGTGTGTGTAATGATATTGGTGCGTGTAATGATACTAGTGCGTGTAATGATATTGGTGCGTGTAATGATATTGGTGCGTGTAATGATATTGGTGTGTGTAATGATATTGGTACGTGTAATGATATTGGTGCGTGCGTGTTATGATATTGGTGCGTGTTTGAATCTTTGTTTAATGTTTTGATTTATCAAATTTTAAATGAACTTTTCAAAACATAGAAATTAACAAAAGTTTAAGAAATATTTACAGTTATGTTTACAAATATTTTAGTTCTGTATTTATATTACCTTGATTAAGATTAGTTTATAGAAGTAGTATTTTAAACATTTAAATTGTGACAGTTTCATTGAGGTTTATTCATTTTGTTTCTGAAGTTAAACTTAGCAACTTTATAGCTTAGCAACTTCGCTTAGCATGCTGTGTTTCTTGACAACATTTTTTTTACTTTATATGCTGTGTGCAAAACATCACTCAGCATGCTAATTTTTCTAAATTTCAACTTCTTATGTTTTTAAATTTTATTTAAATTTATTTATTGTTATGAATATTTAATTTTTAATATACAATCATTTTACTTTCAGTGTAATATTTTTATGAATCTATTTATTTCAAGGTTTGACTCACCAGCTACGTGCTCGTGCTAGAGAGCGGGAAAAAGATATTCGACGTGGGTTAGAAGTTACAGACATGGTACCAAGAAATGTTCGTCGACATAATGACAGATCAAATGCTGATAGTGCTTGTAAGATTAAGTTACTTATAAAAAAAAAAAGTTTTATTCAATATATTACATTTTTAAATACTATATATTACATTTTATATTTATACACATTACATTTTATATTTATACATATTACATATTACTTTTTATATATTACATTTTTAAATAAAGATTTCTTTTTAAAATCTTTTAACTGGTTCTTGGAAAGAATAAATTGATCATTTTTAAGTTTTTTACTGCTGTTCCTGACCACCAACTTTATGACCATTTTAACTTTAGGCACAGTTGTTAATTTTTTTAACAAAATATAAAAAAAAATTAATGACTTAGGGGCTTTCTCCTTTCTCCACTGCTCTGTTTCACTATTAAAGACATCTGCTACCTACAGAAACCAGTTGTTTCACCTACCAGCTTTAACAACTTTTTGGACTCAGATATAATTGATAGCTCAGGTTTTCCATTCATATGTTACACTGACACATATCAGGAATGTTACACTTAAATAATCTTGCATCTTCTTCTTCACTTCCTAGTTTATATTTTCACTTAGACATAGCAGAAGCAACTGTACATCCAATCAACGCCTAATACATCCAATGCAGACTCGAACTTTTGATATTGATCCTTGATGCATAACACACTATTGAAAACGTAAATAATATAGTTTTAGAAACCAAGGTGCATAGCCGTTAGATAGGAAGCAGTCTACTAATTTTATCATCTTTTGTTACTCTTTCTTCATAATCTTTATAACATTGTCCCTTATCTTCAGGGTAAAATGATTCAGAGCATTAGCCATTAACCTGAAAAGTCACAATATACATAAACTCAAATTCTTTATATGTTATTTGTTTGATATATTTACTTATTTGTTGTTGTAATGTATACTTATTTGTTGTTGTGATGTATACTTATTTATTGTTGTAATGTATACTTATTTATTGCTGTAATGTATACTTATTTATTGTTGTAATGTATACTTATTTATTGTTGTAATGTATACTTATTTATTGTTGTAATGTATACTTATTTATTGTTGTAATGTATACTTATTTGTTGTTGTAGTGTATACTTATTTATTGTTGTAATGTATACTTATTTTATGAATCTTATTAAAACTCTAGAGCTTGGAGCTCTTGTTTTGAACTCTAAAGCTTCATACGTAATATGATGCAGGGTAATCAAACCTGGAGTTGACTCCTTTAAAATAAATTATTTTTTGGCTTTTTTCTTAGCTGAAGATCAGACCTTCTAAAGTTTTGAACCTTTGTTCCTTTGTTTTCTCTCCTTTTTTTAGTCTCTATATAGATCCAAATACTTACAGTATAAATAAATACAGTACACTCAGTATTATATTACAGTATAAATAAATACAGTACACTCAGTATTTCCATTCAAATGCATGAAATACTGAGTGTACTCAGTATTTCATGCATTTGTGCAAATGTTTGATCTAGCTTCATCTTTTTTTTTTCCATTCCTATTTGAGAAGACAAAAATGAGCTTGTTTAGTATTGCTAACTTCCTTTGCAATAAATAGTCCTATTGAAGAACTTCTTAACAATGCCTTCTCTAATTCATTATTATAGTTTTTAGGTTTTTTAAAATATAAAAACATAAAACTGTAAAAATAGCAATCTATCAAACTTTAAGTTATTGTAATAATCTCTTTATAAATATATCATGTATATTTTTATATATAATCTCTATTTGAAAGAATAATTTTCAATATATTTTGTGACACAAATAGTTATTTGTGTCATTGTGTCGGAAAAAGTTATTTTTGATATAATTATAAAGAGAACAAAAGTTGCTTCTGCATAATCACAAGAAAACTGATAGTAATGTTTCTAAGATCTCTTTATGCTAATGCTTAGATTTCAGGTGGGAGTTTATGTTGGAAATGATGCTGAGAAACAATCAAAAAAAAAAAGTCTGAAAATTTTAACTTAAGATTTATGCTTTACACAATCAAATTCAGCATTCATTAACACAAAATAAGAGCAATCATCTCTCACCACCAGAACATGCATACAATCTGAACACACCACCAGAACATGCATACAATCTGAACACACCACCAGAACATGCATACAATCTGAACACACCACCAGAACATGCATACATTCTGAACACACCACCAGAACATGCATACATTCTGAACACACCACCAGAACATGCATACAATCTGAACACACCACCAGAACATGCATACAATCTGAACACACCACCAGAACATGCATACATTCTGAACACACCACCAGAACATGCATACATTCTGAACACACCACCAGAACATGCATACAATCTGAACACACCACCAGAACATGCATACAATCTGAACACACCACCAGAACATGCATACAATCTGAACACACCACCAGAACATGCATACAATCTGAACACACCACCAGAACATGCATACAATCTGAACACACCACCAGAACATGCATACAATCTGAACACACCACCAGAACATGCATACATTCTAAACACACCACCAGAACATGCATACAATCTGAACACACCACCAGAACATGCATACATTCTGAACACACCACCAGAACATGCATACAATCTGAACACATCACCAGAACATGTATACAATCTGAACACACAAGATTTCGTAGCTTGGTAGGGTTAAAGTATATAAGTTATAAGAATAAAAAAATAATAAAGATTGATATATATGGTACATGGTTTTTACCAAACACAAATACCCAGTTTAATTCAAAAATTTAATATGCTATTGAGTACATATAAATTTTTTTTATTTCTATAATATATTTTTGTAGCTACATTATCTATTGATGCTCTGCCATATAATCCAGAGTCTGAAAGTTCTCTGCAGGAAGATTTAACAGATATTCCAGTTCATAAAAAAGAACTTGGTAAAAGATTATACTCTCGAATACAAGCAATCTCTCCTGTAAGTTCTGGACAACTTTTACCTAAAATTTTACATGAAGTTTTTTAATTATAATTCGTACTCTTTTACTTTTACTCCATTTTTTATAATTTATACTTTTATGTTTTTTTTTTTTTTTTTTTTTTTAAAAAAAAAATAAGTTCAAAAACAATTTTTTTCTAGGCAAATGCAAACAAAATTACTGGCATGATATTGGAGTTACCACCTACGCAGATTATACACATACTTACTAGCAGTGAAAGTATTTTAATTGCAAAAGTTAATGAAGCTACTGAGCTTTTAAACGGAAAAATGAGGTATTTGTTTACTTAATAATTTTGATATTTTGGTATTTGTTTACTTAATATGATAATATTATTGATTTTTTTGTAAAATGTTTGATTATGTATAATATAAAAATAAGCGCACTCGACTGTTACTGATTGCTTTTATTTCTAAGTGTAGCCAAAATTCATTTTTCTAAAATTATTTCCAATTTTTATTCATACTGTGAAATCTAATCTAATGGTGTATAAATATTAAACTGTTTTTATAATTATTTTCATATTCATGAAAACTTGTTAATTAAATAAGATTGATTTTTATTATTGAAACTTTTAATGAAAAACTCTTTTGATACAAATTTTAACTTTTTTAAAATTTAAAATTTATTAGAATGAACAATCATTATAATGACCTTTATAATTAATTTTAAAACTATAAACTTTTTATAGATTCAAAAAGTAAAAAAGTTAATACTGTTGGAAATTTATTTTTAATTATCTTTGAAAGTTAATATATGTATTTATCAAATTGATGTTTCCAACCTCAGATAGTCAAAATGTATAAAATATGTTTTAAAAAAATGGTTGAAAGATATATTATGCTCACATGTACATTAATAAAAAATTATATATTTTAGTTCTAGTAAGTCAGATCCAGATGCTTTAGTGGATGATTATGATAGCAGTTATGTGTTTGACAATTCACCCCTTTTCTTTCAACCTGGAAAGCCTGGTTATTATTCACCACGTCCAGGGAAAAATGTAATTGAACGCATTAACTGTTTTCGAAATGTTGGAAGGTAAACAATTATTTAATTTTTTTTGTTTTTTTAAAATGTTGAAAAAAATGAAATCTTTTCTTTTTTTCTTTCTTTTTTGCGTGCTTTTATTACATGGTAACATTGCACTGTACTTAAACACTGTAACATTGCACTGTACTTATGCACTGTAAACCAGTTGATCAGATTAACGTTAAAAAAAATTTGTTGTTGTTTACTTTTCATGATCAGTAATGTTGCTATCGCCTATGATTTTGTTAGTTCTTCTTTTCCCATTCTTTGTTCTTTTTTTACTGTACAATCTTTGTTTGTTTTAATGAACAAAAAAAGCTGAAAACTAATTAAATTTTATTTATTTTCTAAAAACTATAAACCATATAAATAACGTCATTGCAATATACATCCAAAATGTTTATATAATATTCAATGAACAAATAAATATTAAAATGAATTAATGTTAGTTTGAAAATATTTTTGATTGGTACAATAAACATAGTTTCAAGTCAGAAAAAAATTTAAGTAGTTAATGAAGTCTTAATGAGCTTTTATGAATAAAATAAGTTTGAAATAATAACTAAAAATAAGATTTCTTTGAAAATCTAATATATCGATAATAATTATAATAAATATAGCAATCATAAGAATTTAGTTTTAATTGTTTATTAATTTCAAAAGTTTGAGATCATTAAATGCCAAAATGGTATAATAGTTTTTGTTTTAACCAAAATTGATTAAATAGAAAGATATGAAATAAATTATAATCAAAAAATAAAGGCAGACAAAAAACAACAGACATTTATTCCATTTTAATAAGAAATTAGTATCTGAATCACCCGCAAAGAAAAAGCTTTTATTTTTTTCTAAGAAAGATTATAATTTTTTCATTTTATTTTAAATCACGCATAGCAATATAGATAAATATATGGCAATTAAAAAGAGCAAATTTTCCGCTAGGAAAAAAGTAAAGTTTTTAATAAGAAACCAGTATATAAATCACCAGTGTATAAATCACCCGCTAAGAAAAAAGTTTTACTTTTTTCTTAGTGGGTTGTTAAAAAACTAAAGTTTATTTTGGCTGATTCAAAATTATATGCTAAAACTGCTGTATAGAAGTGAAAACATTTGAAATATAAAAATTTAAATTTTATTATTAATTTAAATGTTATTCTTAAATAATATTTTTTAAATCAGAGTTTGTTTTTTTGTGGATAATGAGGCTTTATAACAAACTATATGTTGTGGATAATGAGGCTTTATAACAAACTATATGTTGTGGATAATGAGGCTTTATAACAAACTATATGTTGTGGATAATGAGGCTTTATAACAAACTATATGTTGTGGATAATGAGGCTTTATAACAAACTATATGTTGTGGATAATGAGGCTTTATAACAAACTATATGTTGTGGATAATGAGGCTTTATAACAAACTATATGTTGTGGATAATGAGGCTTTATAACAAACTATATGTTGTGGATAATGAGGCTTTATAACAAACTATATGTTGTGGATAATGAGGCTTTATAACAAACTATATGTTGTGGATAATGAGGCTTTATAACAAACTATATGTTGTGGATAATGAGGCTTTATAACAAACTATATGTTGTGGATAATGAGGCTTTATAACAATGTAACTCTATAAAATATTGCGCAAACTCAAAAAGCATAAACTGTTACATTTACTAAATTTAGAATAAACTGTTACGTTTACTAAAATTAAATTTGATTGTCCTGAAAAAAAATTAATCGTCAACTATATTTTTCATTTCATCTGTGTTGATCAGCAGCCTTTAAATAGTTATTTCCAACGTAAATCAAACGCTTCATTATCTTCATATTTATGGGTTTTTATTTTTTAATATATTTATGGGTTCAATTTTATATTGATGAGTTTTTCTTTCTTTTTTTTTTCTTTTTTTTTACGGATTATTAATCTGAATATTTATTATTATTATTAACTTGTTTTAAATAAGTAGAATAAAAAATTTATTTGTTTTCGATAATGTTTTTTTAATATTATTAATAATGTTTTTAATATTAATAACTAATGTTTTTTTTTTTTTTACTCTTGAATGGCTAATTGCATTAGTTTGAAGTGGTGAAGGAGAGGCTGTTGCTGGTATGCTAGTCTACTCCATAAACTCCTTGCTAATGGCTAGGAAAATTTTAAAAAATTGTTGAAAGTTTGATATATGAAGTGTACAAAAAAGGCTAAAATTAAAAAAACAAGAACTATTTATATAATTTTATATGATTACTCTATAGTTATAATAATAATATTCATTTAACTATTTATATATTTATACAAAATTATTATTTATAAATTTATGATAATGATATAATAATAACAACTATAATAGTATAATCGTGTGAAAATAAAAAAATTAATTAAGCTTTATAATTATGATTTTTTTTATTTTTTTATTTAATGTTATTTCTGTATACAAAAATATTATTTAAATATTTTAGAATTATTGGTTTATGCTTACTCCAAAATGAGTTGTGTCCCTTGGTTTTTAATCGTCATGTTATTAAATATTTACTTGGAAGAAAAGTAAGTTTTTCATTTATATATATTTATATAGTAATAGTAGTTAATGCTGTGCTGGACAAATTCTAGTGATATATAGTTTTTCTAGATCTTGTGTCACTTCAGACATTGTGACATTTCAGTCTTAAGGCAAAGGTTTTTACACTCACTTATACACTAATGTTGCACTTATTTGAGTTACATTAACTATAACAGCCATAACTTTTTCCAAAATTAGCTTTTTAGTTGTTAACTGGGGGTTGGAAGTTTTTAAAAATATTGTTATTTTATTTTATTAAATGTAGTCTTGCGAAGGAATACATATACAAAACAACATATACTAGCTAGCTATTAGGTACAGTACAAACAATAGTTTATTGGTAATCAGGGTATTACAGTACAAACAATAGTTTATTGGTAATCAGGGTATTACAGTACAAACAATAGTTTATTGGTAATCAGGGTATTACAGTACCAACAACCAGGGTTTTGCCTTTTTTCATAATGTTTTTAAAGTTAAATGGCAACTGAATGGTTGCAGTTCTTAAAGTATTCTCCAAGTATCTGTCAATACTGATCTTGTTTTAGATTTTGCAAATTTCATCCAAGAAACACACTTTCACACAAGTGACAAACCCATCATTTTTGCGTTGTCAACTAAGTTTATGTAGTGGTAGAGCGCTCGCTTCATAAACAAGTGGTTCCGAGTTCGATCCCCACCACGTCCCTGGTAGTACCGCGCTCAACTCGTTTCTCCGCGCAGCGGCCTTGTTCGTCAAGGTTCGTGTTTCGGAGTTATAGAGTTGAGAGAGGGTTATAGCCACAAAATAAGTAGCCTCCTCGTCTGTAGTGGCCTTCTCGGCCTTGAGGAGGTGAAGTAAAATAAAATAAAAAAAAAAAAAAAGTTACTGTATTTATCTTGGTCAAGGTTTTTGTAAAATACCATCAAATTTTGTTGATTTATACACCTCTCTCAAAATACTAATGTGTTGAACATCAATTAATTCCATTTAGAATTTTTCTGGTACAGTTTTAATTTCAACAGAGAATGCCACTGGATTCAAATTCATTTTCATCAAGAAATGCCTCATTTTGTCTACTTTATAAAGCACTGGACTTGATTGTTTATTGTTTTAACTACTAAAGGGATGACATTTTCCACATCCATACCCTTTGGTGTTGAGTTTTTCTGATGAATAATACAATGCAGCTTAATTAATGACAGATTGTTTTGGCCATTTCGTTTTCCAGTCTGGAAACAACACCAATAATTTCTCCAATCATTGAGCCATCTGTTGTCTAATCATTGAGCTGTGATCATCTGTTGTTCAATCATTGAGCTGTGATCATTTGTTGTCCAATCATTGAGCTGTCACCATCTGTTGTCTAATCATTAAGATGTTACCATCTGTTGTAATATATATTAATCTGTTGCAAGTTTAGTTAAACGTTTTTTAAACTTTCTTAATGGCCAATAATATGTTTTCTACTGTTTTTCTGGATGGATAGGCGTCAAGTAGCTCTTCAGTAACAAGTAACGTCAGTTTCAGTATCTCTTTTTTTAACAGATCTTTTTGTCTAACTTATGTTTTAATTTTTCACATTTTTTTGTGTACCTTATTGACAAACTAGTTATAAGTTTTTGAATGTTTTAAATTATATAGTTTAAATTATAATTGTTAGAGTTACTATAGTGCCATTTTATAGTAATTATAGTGCCATTTTAAATTATATTTATTACATACTGAAGCAAATTCATTACATATAAAAATACTTGCATGAAATTAAATTTGCCAAAAAGTGTTTTTGCCATTTACCATTAAAAACACAACACTTTTTTATTGTTTTAAAGAAAATGCCATTTTGGCTAAATTCTCAAATAATTAATTCTGAATAAATTTTCAAAAGAAAAGCTAAAACTAAGATACAGAATTGTAAATATTTATAAAAAAAAAAAAAAAAGTTTTTTTTAACTTTACATTTCTTTGTAAATTAATCTCTGTTAGTTATATTATTAATAAAATTTCATAAAAGTGAAGGGACAAATGGTTGTTGCGGACTGGATGGGGCTTATGGCTCTTATAGTGGCCACCATCATGTGATGGTAAAAAAGATTAATTACTAATAATCCAAGAAGAGGTTATGTTGACTGTAAGTCAACTTAACCTCTTCCCCCCCCCCCCTTCCTCAACTGAAAACACAAATGTGGGCACTGCATTTAATTCCCCCCCCCCCCCCTCTTCCTCCTCCATTTCCTAAACAGTTTTAAAAAAAACTTTTATAATAGCAACAGTGGAATTATCATTTTCCATTCTGTAATGACTCAATCACAATTAAACATCATCACAAAAAAGTATATCCATAAAACTGTTTAAGATCTATTGCGTACTATTTTTTAAATAAATGTGTGCTGGCAAAAGATGACTAATCACGTTAAAAAGATAATTAATCACGTTGCGTGTGATAAATAATTGAATAAATAGATCATTTTTATCTACTTCGCTGCATCATACAAAATTGTTTGTATGATGCAGTGAAGTTTGTTAAAATATGTTTTCAGCCCCCCCCCCCCCCAATTTCGTGACCTTTTTATGCCACTATATATATATATATATATATATATATATATATATATATATATATATATATATATATATATATATATATATATATATATATATATATATATATATATATATATACATATATCAGGCCTTGTTAAGAAGCGTTACACAATTTTAATTTTACGTACGTGTTCACCATTTCACGTACGCGTTTCCCAATTTACGTTACGCTAAAACTTTTTTCAATTAGTCAATTATTTAAACATTCATTTAGAATAGTTGACGAAAAATATTAAGCTGTAATTAGTTGTTGTAAAAAACACTGTTTATTAAATTAAAAAACAGATAGATATATAAACTTTTTCCATTTTTCGTTTTTTTTTTTTAATATATTTTTAATTTATTTTATTAAATTTAAATGAAATTTATTATTAAATATAATTAAATATAAATATATTTTACTAAATTTAATTAAATGAATAATTTAGTTAATAACATGACAATAATATTCCATACAGGAATAAAAGCTCCGTTTTACAATTTTTTTTACAGCTTAAATTTTTTAACTATGTTAAAGTAAAAAAAAAAAATTAATAAATTTCATTCAAGTTACTTAAAAATGTTCGTATTACATATAACTTTATTTTACATTTCAGTTTTAAAATTGCTTTTTAACAAAAGATTTTCTTCATCATTAATTTTTTGAATTGATTGTAGACTGAATGTTGATTAAAAATGATTAACTAGTTTATGAGTAGTATGCGAAGATTTTGTTAAAGCCAAATTGTTAAAAAAAAGTTTTTTTTTATTTATTGACTGTTAAAGTGAGAAACTTTATAACTTTTAATGCCATTATTTTTTTCTTGAAGGTAAGTTCGGGCTCCATGATTTAAAAAAAAAAAATACTGGTCTGATTAATGCGCTTTTGTAACCAATAATGTCATTAAAAAAAATTTTTTAACTTTGAGTTATTAATGTTTTGTTTGGGTTTTCCTTTTATCGTTAAATTTTATGTAGTAGAATTTCATTATTTTTTTTATAAAACGAACGAATCTTTTATAACCGAATAAATATAACACGTTCAATAAGTTTAAAAGTAAATAAGTTTAACTTTAAAAGCCCATTTTATATTCATTTTAATTTAAAAACAAAACTAATACTAGTCTTATAAATATATGATAAGTAAATTTTAAAAATATACTGATATTTGTTAAGGTTACTACCAACACCAAACATATAAAAATAAAAGTAAATTTTTGATATTTAATAATATAAAAAGCTTATTTCCAACTAATTTTTTAATTTTCAATAAATTAACTAAAAAAAATTATATAGGAATGATAAGAATATTTAATCTTCTTTTGCGTTTTCAAATTTTGCGAAACATTGTCTTATCGTAAACATGATATCTTGAGAAGCAGAAGTGCAAATCACTACAAATTTTCAGGAAATGTTTATTATACTATTTTATAGGGAGTGACGTTTCTAAATTTTTAAATTCTGCTCTAATCTTTTTTCTTTTTTTTTAATTTTAAGGTCTGAACACGTTTTTTTTTTTTACTTGATGTAAAAAAATTGATATGATTTTTTATGTACCTTGAAAATCTTAAAATCCAAATGTCAATATCTTGCCTTACATGTTTGAACATATGTAAAAAAATTTTTTGTTATATATTTCAAGTTATCGTGTTTTGAATGGACCCATTAAAATGAATGTTTTTTAATAAATTCGGGGGAAAGTACTCGAGGCAAAGTAAAATAAAGTTCAAAATAGCATTCTAAATTAATGTAATTTTTATTGATTTAAAAATTTTTTTTTTCAAGTTTAAACGGTTTTGAATATTTAGTGGTGTACCACCTTAAAAACAAGTTCTGCTCATAACATCTTAAAACCTAAAATACCATATTTTTTTTGGATTTAGTAAGAAATAGTGAAAACACATTAGGTTTCACAGTAAATAAAAACAAAGTATTTTAATGGAAATAAAAAAAAAAACAAGGCAGAAAAATGATAATTGTTTAATTACAATTTTTATTTTGTCAAAAGCCAGTTAAACTAAATTATTTTAGGTTGCACAAACATTTTTTTTAAGAAATGGGAAAACCCAATCTAATTGTATAGTTGTGTAAACCGTTTAAAATCCTTTAAAGAAATTCAACCATAGATAAGTGTTCCCTCATTAAAAAAAAAAAAAATAACCATAAAAAGAATGTTTTAAAGAAGAAAAAAAAAAGTTAATAAATATAATATTTTAAAATAAGGAAATGTCTGTTTTTTTAAACAAAGTTAAAAAATTTTTTATAGTTTTTTTCATAACAATATTGTTTAATTTAAAGACATTTCATAAAGATAAAGACTTTGACAATTATTGTGTTTTTAAATTTAATTACAATAAGGTATTTTAAACTTTTAACAATGTAAATATATTTATTGAGTAAAGTTACACTTATTTACATTACGCTTTTCCGTTACGCAACAAAATCTTATAACAAGGTCTGATATATATATATATATATATATATATATATATATATATATATATATATATATATATATATATATATATATATATATATATATATATATATATATATATATATATATATATATATATATATATATATATATACTAAAAAAACTTTCTAGTCATTATTATTGCAGTTTTTTTAAAAAACAAAATTTAATGTACTTCTGCATTAATTTAATTGCTTTGACATTTCCACGACAATAAAATACAGCGTAAGAGTCGAGGTAGCAAAATTGTAGTTGAAAGAGACTTTTTTTACTGTAAAAGTCTCTTTCGACTATGATATAAGGATATATATATATATATATATATATATATATATATATATATATATATATATACATTTTTTTAAATTGACTTATTTATTATATTATATATGTGTACATACATTCATAAATACATACAAAGCTGGAAAAACAATTTAACATATATATTAACTCTTAAAAAAACTTATTTCTTTGCTCAGATAAGTTGACACTGTTACAAAATTGTTAGAGTAGAGTACAACTTTTTGAATTTTTGATTATAGCAAGCCTAATTTCTGTGTTCAGTTGACATTTCAATATATAATTACAATGTTCTTTATTTTTCTAATCGCCTAGGCACTCAGAAAGTAATAAGTAAAAAGTGGACGATTATATTATTTTTAATGCATCTATTCCCTGCCAAATAAACACGACAATGTGCATACTTCATGTTTCATTACACATACTTCATGTTTCATTACACGCCTAAATTAATTTGCATATTGTACAGCGATGGCAAAAATGTCAAAAATTTTACTATCAAAATTTTGACTGAGTTTGTAAATTCACAAAAAAAGCGTTCAATTTTCTTATAAAACAAAGATGTAATAAGTTTGAAATATTTATGTGTGTAAACACACACAGATTTTAAAATGTGTTTACGCACACGCACTCACACATTTTAAAATGTGTTTACACACACATATGTACATGTTATTTTATTTTAGATAAGTTGGCATGACTTAGCTTTTTTTGATCCGATACTATATGAGAGTTTACGTCAACTTATTGAGGATAGCAAGCGTGAGGATAGCTCTAAGTTTTTCTCAGATCTTGATCTAACATATTGTATTCAGTTGCGACCTGAAGAAGGTAAATTTTTTTAAAGTTATGATTTGAAAAGGGTACATTTTTTATTTTTAACATTTTATATTTTTATATCCGATTTCTATTTTACAGGTGGTGGTACAGTAGAGCTTGTAAAAGGTGGAAGTCATGTAGAAGTTGCACCAGACAATGTTCATGATTATGTCAAGCGGTATGCTGAATATAGAATGGTTGTTAACTCTAGGAGAGCACTTCAGGTAGGAATAATAGAAACTAAAAATACTTTTAATCACAAATACAATTTTCTTTTCTTACATAGTTTAATTCACAGTTTATGAACAAAACAACAAACTTTGCATTTTATTTTATGTCTATAAAAAAGTTTCTGCTTTTCAATCTACAAAAAAAAACTTTTTTTAATGTTTAATCTAATTTGACTTATAAAGTATTATCTGATTATTTTTCGTGGCGCAGTGGTAGCGCACTTGCCTCAGAAACAAAGGATCCGTGGTTCAAACCCCACCTCTAAGCAAGTTTTGCGACATCGATTTGGAAGGAGGCGTAAACTTATAATTAAATGCTAATCCGCGGTGCTCTGTGCTAATACCATTAGGACTTCTTGGGGCACCTAAATGAAATGAAATTTTTAAATGAAATTAAAAAATTTGATTATTAAAGACTAGCATTACCCAAATTTTAAAATTTACGAATCCTTCATAAAAATGTTTCAACCAATCATACAAGTTGTGCAAATTATGATAGTTAAATATTATACTAATTATATTTTATTATTATATTTTTTTATAGTAATTTTATTACTAAACATACTAGATTTTTTTATATGATTTTTTATTTTCATATATAAGTTTGTTATACACATAATCAGTTTATATGTATTATTCTTATTATATGCGCAAACAGTTTGTGTGTGTGTGTGTGTGTTTATACACTAACTAGATTAGAAGCAGAAACAGTTTATTTATATATGTTTATTATGTATAAAACAGGCAATGCGTAGAGGATTACTAGATGTCATACCAGCAAATCATTTAGAAAGTTTGACCGCAGAAGATTTCCGGTTGCTTTTAAACGGGATAGGAAACATATGTATCCAACAACTTATGAGTTACACATTTTTTAGTGATGAAACAGCAGGTAAAATATTATAATCTAGTATTGTTATCTTTTATACCTGTTTCTACCCCTGCCATTAGTTTACAGGCTGATTTCTACAGAAAAAAGAAAGTAGTTGAGGGGGAAGTTAGGTCACTTTTTGTCCCATAGGTCGGCCTTCTACAACTATACTTCCTGAACACAAATATCCGACATTCTCTTTTTATTTTTATTACTTATATTACAATAAATATAAAATTCATTTTTATTAGTCTAGTTTTAAAATTGAGCTGTTTTTAACAGGCGAAGGACAAGAAAAGTTAACAAAGTTTAAAAAATGGTTCTGGTCTATTGTTGAGAATATGACTCCTAAACAAAAACAGGACTTAGTAAATATATTAAAATTATTTATACAATCTTATTAATCTGATGAGATTAAATTTATATATATTTTTTTGTATAAATGTTTTAGAAAGTTTCATTTTTCAATTATTTTTAGCTTTATTTTTGGACCTCTTCCCCTGCCATGCCTGCAAGCGCCGAAGGCTTTCAACCTCTACCTTCTGTTACTGTCAAACCAGCAAACGACCATCAACTTCCTACTGCAAATACATGTATCTCTCGACTCTACGTTCCTCTATACTCATCAAAAGCTATACTGCGAAACAAATTTTTATTAGCAATAAAAACTAAAGTTTTTGGCTTTGTCTAAGTGAATTGTTAGATTATGCAATGGTGATGATGTATAATGGAAGAATGGTTGAAATGATTATAGAAAGATGACGAGTGATGGAAAAACGCAAAACAATTACTTGATTTTGTAACTTTACTACGCTTATGCCGTTTTCTATTTGGTTGAGTATCTTGATCAAATTATCATTTATAAAACACTAATATCTTTGGTCGATCGATATTGAATTCTTAGTTCGATCGATTATAGAATTCTTGTTTAAGATTTGAGTTCAAATAAAGTTATAAACATTACTTCCATTTATTATTGCGCTGCGAGCATTCTAGATAAAATAAAATGTTACTTTAAAAATATTAAAAATTTTCAACACACAATCAGAGAAACACTGACACATACATATATGTATACATATATACAGACATGTATGGATGTGTATACATATGAATATGTATACATATATACATACATACATACATACATACATACATACATACATACATACATACATACATACATACATACATACATACATACATACATACATGCATACATACATACATACATACATTTATACAGACATGCATATATAATTAAACTCAGAAAATATAATTATTGACGGTAACGTTAGTTCTTACCTCATACTAATAAGTTCAAAATCTGTAAAACGTTTTAACTGTGATCTCAGGAAGAATTAAAATTAGTTTTGAACTCTAATTTTTTGAAAATTAACTTATACGTAGTATTTTAAAGTTTACCTTAAGGACCAAATGTAACTTTTATTGTAAGATTTTAATTATAAAGGAACATTTAGAATACCATCTTAAAAATCTTTATTTGTGCACGTAACAAGTTTATAAATTGTTGTTATAACTCAATCTGTTGCGAGATAATAAATGCAAAAACTAATAAAAGATGACAACAAATTACTGAGATCTAAATAACTTAATTCCTAAAGAATGAATTCACTACTGGTTATTCAGTAATCACAAATTTTCTTGTATCTGTAGATGTGATAATCAATGCTTTAAACATTTATGCTTTAGTGGTTTTTCTATGGTGGTTTTGCTACTTTAGTGGTTTACTTACGGTATGCTATAAGATAGATTAAACTACTAATTGCTAAAGAAAAAACTTAATCAAAAACTTAAATTTTTTTGATTTTTAAGTACTCATAATGAAAAAAAAAAGGTTTGTGCAGATAATAGGGGAGGGGGGGGGGTTAATTGCAACAATTGCAATTAACCCCCCCCCCCCCCTCCCTTTTATCTATTAAAAAATAAAAAATCTCTTCTCCCTTATTATCTATTATCTATTAAAAAATCTCTTCTACTATAAAGCTCTCTGGCTGTAGGTAGCATGTGATTTCTTAACACTTAAAGATATTGGTTTTGATTCATGATACCTCTGCAACGGTACAATGACCAAATGACGCACAATTGTCGGATCCTCTCGAGATATTGTCTTCTTTGGTCGTCCACTTATAGACTTATCTTTTACTTCCACTGTTTTCCTGTACTTCATTATTATTCTTGTTGCTGTGTTCTTCAAATCATCTCTGATGCAACTTTGCTGTAACTTTAGTGACTCTCAGTTACATTAGTTACAATCATCATTCGCTTCTGACAAGACAGTTTCTTATTTCTAGGCATACTTGTATAATTAGCTAATGAATTTATTAATTTTTAGTATATAGATCTATAAGAAAACACAAGAATAGTTTAAGAAAGTATAAAAACAGAACATAAATATAAATAAAAAAGTAAAATCAATAATTATTAATCATAACATACGTAAATATCAAATAACAATTATTTTGTAACATATAGAAAACAACATTATGGTCAGTACAAACACTACACAATATCAACCGATGTATCTCAAGGCTAAGAATACCAAACTATAGAAAAATGACTAATGAGCGCTCTATCTAATAATTTAAATTGATAAAATTTAAAAAATTCGCTACATTTTACCAAATGAACTCTAAAACTAATATGGATGTTATTCTAGCCTGTCATGCAAGTATCGAACAATCTGATACTTGTGATTCAAAATAAGATAATTGGTTTATTATTCATAACTGTTCGGGATCAAATTAACCTCACAATGGTCTTTACTATGCATTATGTATAGAAATATCTAATTAAAAAATCATTTTAAAAACATATAAATAACAAATTCTGTAAAAATTTGTGTCACAAAATCTATGGAACTCCTCCTTATACAATTAATAAAATGAAGTTTTTTTTGGACTAGTTTGAATTGTAAAAAACGATATGAGGTGTAAAAATAAATTTATATAAGCGAATTATGAAAACATTTATAAATAAATAAAAGAAGTAAAAAATGAACTGATATAAAGTATAAACAAAATAAATTAAAAGTAAATAAAATAGCAGAATTAACAATAGGAAATACTAATAACCTATATATTGTGCTTAATTATGGCGCAGCGGACTCGACATCAAATCCAAACGTTGCAAATTTCGAAGAAGGCTCAAGCTTACAAGCGTTTTTAATTAGGAAATCGGAGAACTCCAAAACAAGGTCTTTTTAGAGTTTTCTTCGAAAAAAAGAAAAGAAAAAAAAAACCAGTCAAATTTTCTTAAAAATAAAGTACAAAACAGTTTTTTTTACTTTTTCCATAGCAGTAGTTTTGAATGAAGGTAAAAATTTATTTTTTAGTGGAGATGAGAGGGACTTTTTAATGGAGATAAAAGGGACTGTATGATGAGGGGCACTGAAAGAGTTGAAAAGATTATTTAGACTTTATTATGTTATCTTTCCAAATACTTTATGTATGACTTTTATATTTTATTTATCTTATTTAACAAATTTTATTATTCATACAACTATTCACTATTTATTAAAACAGATTATAGTATATACTGAAACAATAGAAAAGTAATACATAAATAAATCTATAAAATATTATTACTTAATTTACAGTCTGCTTAAAGTCTTGCTGGCCAGACTTAAACTTAAATGCGCTAATTGTAATGACATACAAATTCAATTTGCTTTAATTTTAAAAGAAATATTGTTAAAAAATAAATGTGCTATAAAAAAAAAACCAAAATAAGATTTTTATATAACCAGAATAATATTTTTTTTTGGTTATTAATTTAGTTTTGACTTTTTGTCAATGTTTAACTGCTCCAACAAGATGTGCGTATTAATCGTCCGCGAGTTTCATTACATATTCTACTGAGCTTTTGGAAGACATTTTAGAATTTTTTGGATCATCTTTTTGAGCTGTCGATTTAGTTGGATTTTCTTTACTTGAAACAACACTTGAAGGGATATTCTTATCATTACCAAGTGAACTCTGTTCATCTTTTTTGTCTTCGTAATCTTTGCTATTTTTAAGTGGATTTCTTTTGTTGTGTCTATTTGGTCTTGTCTCTTTTGGCTTTTCTTTTGGTTTTTGTGGAACTTTTGGGTTTAATTTTTCTTTCTTTTGATCTAATAAATCAGGTTTTTGGTCTTGGAGCTCATAGATTGGCTGTTTAGTTTTATTAGGAACGATTTCACTTTTAATACTATCGTTTTTCTCGGCAACGTTTTTATCTGAAACAAGTTTCCATTGCGCGATGCAATAATCTTGCTGACCCACCGAGACAATTCGAGAATCGTACGAAGTAAATAAAACATGTTTTAATGCGCCACTGTGGATGTTAACTTCATTGAAAAGTGGCTAAATAGATAAATTTAATCAAATTTTGCTAGTGCTAACGTTTTAAAGTGATCTATTAAGCCAATTTAACTTCACTTTCATATATTAAAAACAAAAGTTTTTTTTTTGTAAGCTTTTGTTTATCAAATTAAAAATTTATCGTAAAAAAATTAAAAAAAAAAAAAACTTTTATACGAATACCCGGAAATGGTTAAATTAACATTATTAAAATATCATCTTGTAGCTCGCGCTTCAATTTTCAAACAATTATTTATTCATTGTAATAACATAACTTACCATTAAAGAATCACATGGAAAGTTAAACATTCGAATGTTTCCATCACTGGTTCCGGCCAAAAACATTTCGCCGCTTTTGGATTTACAGCCGGAGGTGTAAGTTGTTTTAGGATCCAAACATCTCCATATTCCCATAGTTTCATAACTAATTACCCCATTTTGTGTAGCAAACTTTAAATCTCGTATTTTTACTCTTCTACGTTCGTAACTTCTTTGTTCGACGTTGAAGTAGTCAATAGCTGACGAAGTCGTAAAACGGAAAAATAATCCATTATCGGTCCAGTCTACCGATAAAATTGCCGAATCAAGATTTTTCTAGAAAATAACTGTATATAATTAGTTTATTCTTCTCATATATATTATTTTTCGCAACTATATATATATATATATATATATATATATATATATATATATATATATATATATATATATATATATATATATATATATATATATAAATATAAATACATACATATATATATATATATATATATATATATATATATATATATATTTATATATATATATATATATATATATATATATATATACACATATATATATATATATATATATATATATATATATATATATATATATATATATATATATATATATATATATATATATAGTTGCGAAAAATAAAATAGCACCACACATTCTTCTGTTGTAAAATACCCTGATAATGATAAAAGTAGTTGTGAAAATAGCAAGCGTTGGGGTTTTTTTTTGCTGTTTTATTCGTTTTATGTTAGAGCGTATCAGTAGGAGACATTTACATATAAAAACGGGACACGGAAAGCATTGTAGTGCAGAAAAGCGAGAACTGATCCGAAAGTTGATATCAACAGGGAAATCTTATAGAGAAGTTGGTCGTTTAGTTGAGTGTTCCTATAATATGATAAGAAATGCCATAAAATTTCAAGAAAAGTCTGAAAAAGTGGTCGAAAACGTTCTATTTCAACATTGCTGGCCAATCGCTTAGTCCGACAAGCTAAAAAGGAACCTTTTAAAACAGCTAGCGAGCTAAAAAAGGACTTTAACATCGATGCAACAGTACAAACAGTTCGGAGTTGTCTGCAAGTTAATGGATTAAAAGCCTGTAGCCCCAAAAAAGTTCCACTTCTAAGTACCAAACATGTTGTAAAGCGTATTGCGTTTGCTAAAAAACACTCAAATTGGCCACTAGAAAAATGGAGGAATATTTTATGGACAGACGAAAGTAAGATTGTGATTTATGGTGTAAAAGGCTCTCGGGCGTATGTCAGAAGACCGCTGAATGCAGAATACTATCCAAAATATACCATCAAAATTATTTAACATAGAGGTTGTAGTATAATGATATGGGCATGCTTTTCTTATTACGGAGTAGGGTCCATTCATCACATTACTACTATTATGGATCAATATGTTTATGTTGATATATTGGATAAAGTGATGTTGCGTATGCAGACTATGAAATGCCGTTGTCCAGGGTGTTCCAACAAGACAATGACCCAAAGCATACAAGCAAAAAGGCGAAGAATTGGTTTGAGGAGCATAAAGTGAACGTTATGGAGTGGCCAGTACACTCGCCAGATCTTAACCCAATCGAGAATTTGCGTGCTGACGTAAAGGAAGTGGTTGCTGCTGCCAAACCCACCACAAAGGAGTCACTTTGGAACGTAATTAAGGGGCCATGGTGCGAAATTCCGCTAAAGCGATGTCAGGACTTGGTTAACTCGATGCCAAGACGTTGTGTAGCCGTCATTGCCAATAAAGGTCACGCTACAAAATACTAATATGTTAAGAAATTACTAATATTTATTGTAAAATGTTTAAAACAATTGATCTCATATTATTTCCTTATTTTAAAGTACACATTAAAGCTGTGGTGCTATTATTTTTTTAGCGTTTTATTTGTTTGTTTTTTTTTGAATTTTTGTTTAATAAATGAATACTATATATTAAAACTTGTATATTTTGTTTTTTATAAAAAATTATAAGCCATTTTACTTTTAAATATGTGTTTAAAAGATTTTCAAACTATCAAAAATAGTTAAAAATTCTAATCTCAACCAATTTTTGGTGGTGGTGCTATTTTATTTTTCGCAGCTGTATATATATATATTAAAAATTAACATTTTTGAGTTGTGTGATGAATGAAAATTGTTTATTTTGCAAGGGAATAAAGTATTCTGGTTTCCTGATTGAATTCTCTCGTAGCAATATACAAGTAAATTCAAATTCAATAAACAGTCAAAATTGACTTTAGAACTAATTTGAAATTGAAATTGAAACTCTCTTAACAATTCAATGTTATGTAAAATTGGATTACATTAAAATGGTTTCCTTTAGTTTATTTCCAAAGTAGTTAGACCCGTTTTTTAAAAAAGAGCTGCTTCATTAAGAATCTTATTTAAACGTGGTCCCTGAATTGGACGTTTTCTAGCATTGAAACTTTGGCTAAATGAGTTTATGCTAAGCTTGTACATAGATGTCTTAAAAAAGAGATCTTTGAAATTATAAAATATCTTCATGTACTTCATATTTTTCATTACTTCTAATTTTTTTAAATAAAACTTTTATTTAATTTTCAATGCTTAGTGTTAATGTAAACTTGTGTTTGATGTTTCCACTTCTAATTTGGGTAGAGCTTATGGAAAAAATTGATACATATGTTATCAAAAAAATGAGACATTTTTTTAAAAGTATTTTGTTCCCATAAGGAATATTTTTTTCATTTAAACTGTCTTTATAAGTTTATATTTTTTATACATGCATCAACTGACAAAAGAAAAGTTGATGGGACACTAAAATTCATTGAATGATGAGTTTGGGTTAAGTTTGGCTAAAGGATAATGTTAAGGTTAGGGTTAAGGGTACATTTTTTCCTAATTATTTTTTTACTTCTTTAAACTTCTAACTTTGAGTATAAATAAATAAAAATGGTAAATGCAATACATAGATGAAAATAAATATATAGAACACGTATTCATATCAAAAGATTAGTTTTAAAGATGCATAAACAAAAATTAGCTGAAAAATAATTTTAAAAGATGTAAAAAAAAAAAGTAAAGCTAGTTTTAAAAAAGTAGTTATGGGCAAAAACTTTACCTTTAGTAACGACGTAAAGTAAACATATAACCTAGTAATGCTTTATTAACAAAAGGCTTTAAAACTTACTTGGGTGCAGCTTAAGTAACGATACGTTTTTCCATCATCCAGACATTGATATACAAATATTTTTCCCATCTCATTTCCGACTGCAATAAACTTTCCATCTGGCGAGAACGATAAACAAGATATTGTTGATCGCTCGGTTTGAAATGATGCTAAATGAAGAGCATTTTGAGCGTCTAATATAATCCAACGACCTGATGTAGTTCCAATTGCCAGTACCTCAGCATAGGGATGAAAAGCAGCCGCGCAACAACAAGCTGATATATTTGAATCCCATAATTCAGTATGGTCATCTAATTTCCACAAGGATATGTTACCATCTGAACCTCCCATAAGAAAAGATTGCTCATTCGGATGTTTAGTGATAACGGTATTCATGTCACATGGACCTCTTAACAGACATTCAAATTCACTTTTTAAGTTACCAATAAGTAAGTTGTTTGTGCTTGTACCTAGTATTAAAGGAAGATTGCCAATGTCTGATCCTATAAAAGCGTATTTGTCTGGTATGATTGCAACAATTCCACCATAACGAGCAGAAAGTTGAACTTCTCCCAATGTAGGAATGACGGAGTCGCAATCAACAAGAGTAAACATTCTGTCAGAACCACCACCTGTAATCACTAACCCACCAGAAAGTACTTGCATTGCAATAATACTTCCAGTATGGCTAGTTTTGATAATAGTATTTGTCCTTCTTTCACCTTTAATCCAAAGGTGCAAAAATCCATTTGAATCGGCCGTTATTAATTCATTTTTTTGGTTAAAACCTATGCATGTGACATAATCAGGAATTTGATAGCCTACAAAATGACCTGTTTCGTATTGAGGACGATCACTCAAAATATTCCAAAAGAAAACATGATTTTTACCGCATGAAATCAGTGTGTTACTATCCGAGGGATCGAACATCAATGCTAACTCAATTTCGTTGTAAGGATCACTCGATACAATATTTAGTTCTTCTAAATCCCCAATTTCATCAGAATCAGGAACTGGCTCTTGCACCACATGAAGATTCCACTCTTGACCTGATGTAGTGATAGTAGCAAGGTAGGTTCCATGATCACCCTATACAAGATAAAAAAAAACTTTTAATCTAAAGTGAAATATGCAAATTTTTTTTTCAAAATTGAAATTAGATTATAAGATTCTCTCTGAATACATTTGTTATTTATTCTTAAAATATAAGAGCTTCTCTTTATAACATTAGAAGTAATAAATGTTATAGAAAAAATACTTTTTTTTTAAAAGTAAACAATTAAAAAACGTTTAACAAATAAAATAGGTACTTGGGAGAAGGCCAAACATTCCACCGACAATAACATATCGTCAAATTTAATGATATTTCGTGTAAATAATAATTTGGAATCCCAAATACGAATATGACCAGCAACTCCGCCGTATATTTGACCAGTGGCAAATATCCATGCATTTGGATGTTGTGCTATACACCGTATCTCCTCAGTATGCTCTGCATAAAAACGCTGCTTTTTAAGTGTCATGTTATACATGACCACAATTTTTGCAACAAAATAAACCACTTCTTCTGAAGGTAAAATAAAAATGTTGTTACGGCAATTTCTACCGTTATAGCCGTATCTGGTTTTGTTTTAGTTATGGAAATAGTTATGCAATATTTATTACGATTACATAATATTTTTGATAAATCTATAAAATAACTACTTTAAATTTCTCGTTTCTTTTAACTATTTATTTTTATAATTAATTGTTATGTTATACTATATTAGTTATGTTGTTTCATTTAACTTTCTTAATTATTCCACCTATTTAATTAAAACTATTATCTTAAAAAATTCTAAGAATGGTGACTAAAATAGCTACTAAAAATATTAAAGGTCTTTCTGATGGTCTTTACAAGCGGTTTTTTAAATCTCTTTTTAAACCGTTTGTTAAGGTGCATTTTTTAAATAGTCCCACATTTCTATGTAGTGTTTAAAAAAGATGAGATGTTGTCAGGCAATAATGAAACGTAAACATTTGAACATCTTAATTTTCAGATTTTCTATTAACATACATGATTTTGCCTGTTCTATGTTGAAAAAAGAAAAAAAAAACAACAACTTGATTTTAAAAGTATTCAAGTTTATGGTTGTAGAACAATTTTGTAAATTTTCTATACTTAACTATCTATACTTCCATTCTTAACCATCTATACTTTCATACTTAACCATCTATACTTGAGTATTTCAAAAAATTATTTTGGTATTTAAATTTCATCATTGCCCGAGTAAATTACATCAACAAGCCAATATGCACTATTTTTAAAAAATTATTCTTTTTTTTCCTTTCATGCTATTGTATAATCTATTTTATTATTTGTCGGCAAAAAAATGGCTCTCCTAAAAAATATTTTCTGAAAGTCAGAAATTTAGAAAATTTCTAGACTCTTTAATCAATCGATTAGGTAAAATTGGTGGGTTTACAACATTGTATAAGGATAAAGATTTATAACAAAAAAGAACGTTTAAGAGTTTATAGAAGTAAATAGTTAACAAAAAGAAATATTTATAACAATTATATCAAGAAATATCAATAATATCAAGAACTATAAAGAATGTATATAACAATTTAGCACTATGAATAATATATAAGTATTCATTGTTCTCAATTGCAATAAGAAACAATAAAGAAAATATGTAAAAATTAAGAACTATTAAGATTTTTTATAAAAATGGGTAAGCTACCCACATCATATGAATATTAAACAACCATTGAAACTATGTAACAGCCAATGTAAATATGTAACAACCAATCATAACTTTTTAATATTAATTACGTAATGTTAATTATGTTATGTCTTTATTTATGCTAAAACTTTAATAAACTGAGTTAACTAATTAAGCTTCAAGGAGAAGTTATTAACTGAATTGAAAATCTATCCAATAATAGTATTACCGTTAAAAAGTAATATATTTATATAGGCTGTAATACTTTGCGTCATGACAATTCAAATTTATAAGCTCAAGAAGCAAATAATATTTGCATAAATATTATTTAATAAATAAAATAGAAATAATAAAGAAAAACGAATTTTTGCTTTTAGGTATAATAAGGTATTTAAAGTTGAAAAGATACATCCATTCAAGCTCCATGTGATCTAATGGGGAGTTAACAGGTTTTGAGTTGTACAAATTATAAGATGGAGGATCAAACGAAATAGTTTTTTCTCCAATTTGCATGCTAACTTTTTTATAAAGGCGACCTTAAAAAAATTAAAAATGACACACTCAAAAAAAAAACATATGCTAAATCATTTTCCTCCAATTACAATAATTCTGAGTTTTACTCAACACTTTACATTTTACAAAATAAACTTACTGTCGCCGTAAAAATCGTCTCTATCTGTTTGAGACTTAATTTTACTAGTCTCAATTTTTTTTTGATTTTCAGATAACAAAAAGTCGATTGATGTGCGTCTTTGCTTTGAAGGATCGTATGACCCTCTCATTGGATCTTTAAATGTTTCGTTCCTTTGGGAATTAATATAAGGTTCTTCATTCGCTGTACTTTTAAATGAAATCACGGCAATGTAGTCTTCTTCTTGTCCGTAGAAAAACTCACTAATACTTGTAACCTGAAATAATATTTTATACTGTAATGTTGCTATGCAACAATCATACCAGTCTTACTTAACTGGCGTACTATTCTAGTCTACAACATAAAAACTTTTTAAACGAAAATAATTTTTCTATATATTTGTTTAAAATATAAGCTACCATTCTTCCTCGACGTGTACATATCTTTTCAACTCTTCCACCTGGAATATTTAGTATTACTGAACACTCTTGAAGTAAACTTTCGATTGATTGGTGATGCAGTTCATCAATAATAAGAGAGACGTTTCGTGACGGAGAAGTATTTGATTCAATATTAATTCTTCTTGTTCTTCTTCCTCTTGAGAAGTATTGAGAATCTTTCAATGGACCCTAAAAGAAGAAAAAAAAAAGATATGAAAACATTTTTTAAATTAGAATTTATGGCTAAATAACCAAACTTTAAAACTAAAAATAATAGCTTTTTCTAACCATTTTTGCTTCTGATTCAAAATCAGAATCAATAAGATCAGGTGTATGTTGCATTCGGAATCTGTCGTATCTTGATAAATCGTATATGTAAGCAGGTCCAAAAAAATACACTCCGAAATCTTCAAACTCGCTAATATTTTTAACAATATCACCTAGTAGTTAATAAACAATTTGTAATGCTCTACGGTACCAGATTTAAAGTTTGTAAAAATACTTAAAATAATATACAAAAAACAATGCATTAGTCAAAATAGTGTTTTAAAACCCCAAAAATTACGCATAATTCTTAAATCCAAGTACTTGATCCACCCAGCCGGCTAGACAGCCACCCAGCCGGCTGGGTGGATACTTAACATTTTGAAAATTAATTATCGTACTAAATTTAGTTATCTTGTCAGCAATCATTGATTAATTAATTTTTTAAATAATTTTTTTCCCTCTCTGTCTAATAAGGAAAATAAAGTAGCGAATTGTTTACCTCTGGGAGTATGCACAAATCTTTCCCGCGCTCTAAGCCCAATAAGTTTTGAAACTTCATCTAAAAAATCGTTCATATCGCGAAAACGTAGTTCGCTGATAACAATCCTTAAAACGGGTTCTTGGCTTTCAAAACTTTGATAAAATGTGCAAATCTTATCGTTGCTATTTTCTTTACTCATACGTCCATTTTTCATGTAAGACGATGGATTTTCAGGGTTTAATTCGTATATTAGCCGACGGTTTTTTGCGTATTCGGTCCATGGTATGTCACTTACTGTAGATCTTATTGCGTTTCCATAAATGCGTCGTGAATAAACATCGTTATAAACATTTGGATTTATTGTCCGTTGAGATAGTACACCCTAAAAAAGTATTCACATTCATTAATATATAAATAAATATCCGTATAGATAAGTTACACATGAACAAGATTTGTCCATTTATATTGACTAATGTTGCATAGTTTCGTTTCGACTTACATCAGTGAGGTAGCCTGATGCTGTTTTTGTTTTATAAACATGATTAGCATGATTTTTGTTTGAGAGACCAGCAAGGTCCATACTTTTAATTAGGCTATTTTTTTCCGGTATTTTGTTGTTAAAGAACATTTTACGATCAGTTAATATTTGGTTTCTTGGCGAGTACTTGTTGTTATACAAACCTTTTGTTGTTTTTATTAGTGGAGGCAACTCATATTGGAAATTATTTCCGCGATAAATATTTCCGTGATAATTATTTTCACGATATTTTAATAGATCTATTCTACGCTTATTATCGTTTGTCTTCATAACCATAGCGTCGTATTTAATTGGTTATAATTTAGTTTTTATAAGGCTATGAGAACAATTATGTTTAGCATCAACTTTAAACATGCATTTTTAAGCCAGTCAAGAGTAAATTAAACATTTTAAACGTTATAAAATTCAATAAATTGCAAAAAAAAAAAAAAAAATTTTTCATATTTTATTATTCATTCAAAAAATATTGTTACTATGCGTGATTTTCAAACGGGGGTAAACTTAATAAGACTTCATCGCTTCATATTTGAATATGGGATTTAATAACTCCCGTTCTGTAAAGTTTTAGAATGTTTAATAATTAATTTATTTCTGTTGAAAAATGCATATACTGCCAAATAAGGATCAATTCGTATATTCATAAATCTAAAAATTTATGTTAATTCATGTCAATAAATATTATGTTGCTTATGTCAATAAACGGTTGTGAATGTTTATTAACTCCTGGTAAATATTAACTAAATAGATTCAAAAAGTTAATTTATATAATTTGAAAATGAATAATAAATAATGAAATAAGTAATTAACTTTTTTTTCAACAATTTTATTCAATCTTTTTTAAAATACTATCTATTAATCTTTTAATTGAAATCAAATTTGACTTGCAGCAAGGGTTAGAGTAATTTAACGATAAATACAAAATTATACTATATCATGGTTTAATTCAAGTAAGTTTTTTCAAAGCCTGAATTTGAAAACTGATTATAATTTCGGCACCATATTATTTTTCCTTTAATTTTGGTTTAAGAGGTTTTTTTTTGAAAAACAAACAAGCCTAAATGATTTGTCACTGGTTTTATTTATTTATTAGAATGTTAACTCAGTTAACTCAGTTAGTTGCAGTCAGAACTCAGTTAGAATGTTAACTCATAAATCATTTAGGCTAATTTTTCGTATAGTTAGAAATAAATAATACTGGTTTGAAAACTAATTTGAAAAAAACAAAAAAATAAAATGTCCACGTCTTTTGCTACCATCTATTGCAACTAAAATAGCTAGATCCCAAATATATTTTATTATATTACGATTTATTATGTACGAATATATTTTATTTTCACCAAGTATTTTAAACATATATACCAAGTATTATATATATATATATATATATATATATATATATATATATATATATATATATATATATATATATATACTTAAAATAACAATTTTAAAAGATTATAAAAATAAAAAATATCAATAATAATAATTTAAAAAGTAGTTTTTATTTATAACATTTTCAAACTTTTCTATGAACAAAATTTTTGATATTAAAAAATTATTAAAAAAACATAATGAAGAAAGTTTTACTTAATTGAATAAAGTAGTTAATATTATATATTTAACAACTTATCTGAAAATATTATGGGGAACTTTATTTAAATACAGTTAAAAAAAATTGAAAGTATTTATAGAGAACTTTATTAAAACAAGTAGATGGACCCCTAAAAACAAGAGGTCAATCCTTGCTTTCTTTTAAATATAAAAGAAAACTTGATTTTCAGTTTCTACACTTTTAAAGTTCAGAGTTAAGCGCTCGAAGATAAGGTCTGCAAATCACAATTAAAAAAGGTAAGCAAAAAACTCTTTAATGATAAAAGAGCCTGGTGGAACTAAAAACATTCCAACTGTGCTGCATATATACTTATCAAGTTGGTATAGAAAACAAACAAGAACATCAAAACAAAAATATAAATCACGTTATCGCCCTAAAAACTCAGCTTGTGGTATTGCTAAATCAAATTAATAAAAACTTTTCTGGGAAAAGTATGGAGAAGAAATATTACGCCAGGAGCGTAGCGAGTTACATTATGTTTTTTAATTAGTTATAATTGTCATCAAAGATAACAAATGTATCCTAGTTAAACCACATAGAAATGTATGTGGTTTAACACTCTAAATTAGGGTAGATTAGGGAATTACGAGCACCTTGGTAATATGTGCATACTAAAAAATTTCTAAGATGTAAGCAGTGAAATTAAAGCTGCTTTGTATTTTTTGAGTCAAACTTATGCGGTGATAACAGAAATCAGTATAATTAGCGTAAATTTATATGCAGTAATTAGCGGTGATTATCTAATTAAAAAGCTATTTAATTAAAAGGCTATTAATATATATATATATTTTTTTGAAATAATATCTTCACGCATGAATAAACTTGTGGCGCGAAATATTGGTGCTAAAAAAATGAAATTTATTTTTTCATGAAGAAAAATCCGTTAGCTAAAAATACGTTCATTTTTTGTTTAAAAAACAATGCATAAAAACATTTAGTTTTTACTTTATTTAAAGATGCTATTTTTGTGTAATATGAGCGTGCTCAAATTACCTTGTGTTTTTCATTGAAATTACCTGGTTTAAAGTCCTAAAATTGCAGTGGTTTAAATTGATTTTTGAATAAAAACAAAACATAGTAAAAAACTTTAATATTTTAACAAACCTACTTTTGCAATTTAAATTCAAAGGTTTGAGTTGAAAAAATTGAAAAATTAGCGAACTATTTTTAAATTAGCGAACTAATTTTTTTTTTTGCGGAAAACAAAATAGAATTGTTTTAATTAAAAGTTGATCTTTTAATTATAAGTTTTGTTGACAACAAATCGTTATATTCCAAAAATTAGTTTTAATTGTCAAGTTGGTATTTTTTTACTTAATGTTATTTTTTGAGCTAATTTGAAGTGCTCATATTACCAAGCAATCTACGTTATGTGAGCACTTTTGCTACTTTTTTAAAACTTCTGTGTTTTTAAGAAAAACTTTTAGTTGCCCAAATAACTAAATGGATCATGAGTAGTGATCCCTAAATATTGTTTATTTACAAAAATGATGAATCCAACATAATTATTTTTGAAAATATTCAAATTTTCGTTTAAAGTGCTGTAAATTTTCTACTGTACAGGTTATAAATTAAGTAGAGATGCAACTTTAGTTGTGGAGCTATTGAATTTCAACAACCTCATTTATCTCATTTTCAAACTTGTTAATTACTCTTAGAATATTTTTGATTCATCTTTTATTTATTTTTGACTGAAAGAGGTTTCATTAACCCGAAAAGGTTTTGACTGAAAGAGGTTTCATTAACCCGAAAAGTCTTCAAAATTTTAATAAATTGAAAATGTACCAGGAAAGGATAAAAGGTTTGTCAGTTCTGAATAATTTTTTATTTTTTTATTATTCGCATAAAAAGAGATTAATTTATTTAAGAATATAATGTTCATCTGCAAATTAAAGTTAATTATCAATAGTTTTTTGTTTAACAAAATTATTTATTAGAAAGTATTATCATAAGAAGAAATAAAAAAACTATAAATAATTAAAAATGAAAATATATAACATAAATTAAATATTATATAGAATAATACAATATAAAAATAAAATTAAAAAATTAAATTTTAAAGTACTTTTTAATACTTTTTCAAAGTAAAGCAAACATGATATTATTTTTTTCATTAGTGTATAACATACCTTTACGGTTAAGATAAAAAAGATAAACGAAATAAAAAAAAAGTAAAGAAAAACCTTAGTAACGTTTTCTTTTCTGGAGTCGTCTTCTTTCTTTTTTCTATCTTCATTTGCGTTATCTAAACCCTGTCCTGAAAGATTTACAATACTTGGCCTATGAGCATAAACTATATTTTCTCGATTCGATTTAGAAGAAAAATCTCTTTTAATATTTTGGTAAGGAATGCTCATGTAAGCGTTATTTAATGTAATTCTTTGTAAAGATTTGCTACTCCGTAGAGTTAATGGTTGGTTGGGTCTTGTTGGTGGAGCATTTGTTGTGTTTTCTGACTTATTGGCGTCATCCTTATTTGTTTCTCCATATACTAACGGTTTTCTTCGAAGACTGTTTTGCGATAACATGGCAGAATTTTTCCTAATTGCTTTTTATCTACGAAGTTTTTTTTTTCTAAACTTCTTTGCGAGCAAAAAGTTGAACTGAAGTTGAGAAAATTAGCACGAACTATTAATTATTAAACTCGTTATTCATGATATGTTTATTGCTAACGGTAAAATCAATATCTGAATGTTTATATATCTGAGGTACTACGGTAACAACTTCATCATAAGAGTTTACTCTGTTGGTTATTTTAAAAATTGATGCAACGCCAGAAAAAAAAAAGGGACGACGAAATAACTAGATAGAACAAAAAATCAAATAGATCTGAGAGTTTAATTTATTGATTTGAATAAAGAGTTAACCATATTTCTTTCATGTTTATTTGAAATACAATTTAAAATTATTAGCCAAAAAAAACCTCGTTGCTGAAACGAGAAATTGTTATTCAAAAAACATTGTATCTTTAGTTATAGACAATTTAAATTCGAAATCTTTCGAAAATAACAATCGTTTAAAACAATCGGTCATTTCTTTTTGGATAAATTACTGATTTGCTTGTATTCATTATTAGATAATAATTTATTTTTGCGATTCATTAATCTTTAGGTTGACTACTTGATTGATCACGTTGCTACACATGTTGTTGCTACGCACATTGTTGCTGGTAAAATTTTAATCAATAACATTAAATAATAAATAGGTTTAATTTTCAATATTAATTAGATCGAATTATCATTTATTAAGCACAAAATCATCTAGACACCCTCCCACAAAAAAACTTTGGATTACTGCTAACACTTATCAACTCTTATAAGAGCCATATTTTTAATAAATTATTTGTAGAAAAGTTGATAAATAAAACTTTTGATAGTCAATGACAGTTAGTGAAAAAACTGCGATCGAGCAAATCTCGGACAACACATAGAAAAAGTTTTCTTAAGCATCTCTTTTTACATTATTTAAAAAACTCGGTCTAGCGATTCAAAAAACCTTTTGATTCAAAAGTAAACTTTAAACAGGTGTCTTGAAATAAAGAATATTTTTTATTTTCTGATATTTGTATCTTTACAATATATCTTTCTTTTAAACTTAAAATAAAAATAAAAATGTTGTAATAAAATAAAAATATTATAATAAAAAAGTTTTTAGAATATTTTTTAGAATATGGAAATTGTATTACGTAAATTGTTATATGCAAAATTGAATATTAAAAATTGAATATGTAAAGTATATGAATATACAAAATATATGAATATGTAAAAATTATATGAATATGTAAAATATATGAATATGTAAAATTAAATAATTTAATATGAAAGAATACAAAAAATTGTAAAATTATACTGAAAATTATTTAGTCAAATCAAATTAACTTTTCATTATAGATGTCGAAAAAAAAAATAGATCTCCGTCTCACTGTGTATGGATAAAATGTTTTAAAGAGTAACAGATATTTTTATAAATTTATTATTGAAATTTTATATTAATAACTTTAAAAGTTATTGGTTGTCGGTTGTAACTTTTTATAACACATGTTAGGCGTTTTTGACGGAGGTCTTTTGACGGCATTGTTTATATTGAAAAATTAATTTGATTGACTAAATAGCTAATTGTTTTTTTCACATTTAGTTTACAACTGCATAGATATTTAATATATTGTCTCCAAATATTTTGTTAATAAATATTCAAATAAATATATCTGTTTAAACTTTGATTGATTTTTACTATATTTAGTTTAAAATATTTTTTTTACTATTTATTATTAGTATTTTTTAGAAAATTTTTTTATTTGTATGCGGGAAAAATTGTTTATATATAATTGTTTAAATTTAGGATCACATCCCGACAAGAAACTTTAATGTGGACCATACATAGCAATTGCATTTTAGCCATATATTTACCACTCTCTTTTATGGGTATATATTTACCACTCTCTTTTAGCCATATATTTACCACTCTCTTTTATGTCTACATGTGGCTATTGCTTAAAACCACACTATTAGAGAACGAAAGCCGGATTATTTCCATACAAGAAAGTTATAACAAATACTTGGACAAATTTACTGACTTGTTTAAATATGTATGCTTATTCGTATAGGAATACCAGTTAAAAAACTTAAAAGGAAAATTATAATTTTATTCGCAGATAAATATATACATACAAAACTTTTCGTTTAATTTATAAAATTCGTTCTGTATTAGTTCTTTATTCTACCATAATCTGATAAACCATGCAATGAAGACGCGATGTTTTCTTTAACATCTTTATCTAGCATATTTACAATGTCTTCAAACTGTAGCTAAAGAGATTTTCATATGAAATTTACGAATAAACAAAATCGAGAAAAAAAAAGTCAATAATAACAGAAACTTGCTTACATTGTCCGCCATTTTAAAACCTAACGTTTTTTCGCAGCAAACACAATGTACTAAGATGTTTTTATCTTCATTAAGTATAACTCTGATTACAATTTTTTTTTGTTTTGTATAACTCTGTTTATAATAAGTAGAATTCTGTTTTTATCGTTAAATAGAACTACAAATTTTTATTTGTTAAATATAACTCTGATTTACAAAATTTATAGAAAGTTTTTTTAGAATAACAATTCTTAAATATATTAATTACAAAACCGCTCAAATATACTAACAACAATTATGAACTAAAAATTATCAAAACTGTAAACAACATTATATCACGGAATATTCATCAAGAGTTTACTACAATGCATTGCGATGGTATCATAGCTTACAACTGGTAAAAATTTAAAATCCAAAATGATTGCATGTTTTTTATGTATAAAAGATTGTGTGTTTTATATGTATGGCCCATATGTTTGTTACATCTAGTTTAGCACGTATTTATTTAAGGAATACCACATTAAGTGGAATAATTATGTGGACCGCATTATGTGTTACACATGTGAGCCACACTAATCATCAGCATATATATCGTTCATCATTTGGAATATAGGTTCGCACTTTTATTCCACTTGTAAGCACTATGGCTACATATGGGTCAAATATACCTTTCTTGTCGGGATTTTTCAATTTTCAATTAATTTTTATCATCTAGATTTCAAATTTATTTTATTTAGATACTGGTTTATTGTTTAAGTTGGAGCCACGATGTGAAATAAAGAACTGGAAGAGTTTTTTTTTTTTTTTTTGAAACACCTTCAATTTTGTCTTCACACTACAAGATATTGTGAAACGTTGTTGTTTACTCTGACAGGCTTCTAATTGATATGGCCCTTTGCATTAGGTGGTTTCAACCAAACCTTATCACCCAAATTTTTAAAAATCAAATTAAAAAAAAAAAAAAAAAAAAAACAAATTTTTAATTTATGCTATTTTCTGTCAAATAATTTATCACCATGATCGGTTGAAATTTGGAGGTTTTTAAATTGAGTTTTCTCAAAAATGACATAATCAATTGCTATGATTTTTTTTATAATGATGCTCACATAATTAGTTTTCTTGTGTGTGAGTGTAGTTTTGTTTACTTTTCATTAGTTTTCGCAATCTTGTGTAAAGAGTCAGAAAATCGAAAAATAAAATTGAAGTTTTACATAGAAAATCCATGGTCCTCATAATCCATGATTTTAAAAGCATGAAAAGCACCAAAATCAACAGATCCAATTATTATAAAATGTTATTAGGAAAAAAAACTGTAAAGTAAAATCAGAAAGTGGTGGAAAATTAAGATTTATTTCCGAAAAGAAGGCTAAATTGATATTTGACTTACTTCATCAAAATCCGACTCAATCACAGCAAGATTTTACTACGAAATTTAAATGCAATAAAGCTTACTTGCACGTTGCAAAGTTAAAGCTATATTTAACTTTATTGAGATAAAAATTAATTATGTAAGCATTATTATGGAAAGAAAATTATTACTATAGTTAATAATTTTTTTTCCATAACTTTCCAAAAAACAAATTAAGTTGTCTTTGAGAAAATTCAATTTAAAACTGTTCAAATTTCAACCAATCATAGTGATATATTTCTTAATCTCCTCATACCAATTTAAGAGCGATATACTTTTTAATCGTTTTTACGTCTAAAAATATCAATATTGCTTCCCGTTGTTCTTTACTCTCACTGGCTTCTATTTGGTATAGCACTTTGCATATGGTGGTTTCAACCAAACTTTATCGCCTAAATTTTTCAAAATCAAATTTAAAAAAAGAAAAAAAAACAAATTTTTTGTTTATGCTTAAAACAATATGTTTTGTTTATATCCATTTGTAAATATCAATATTGCTTCCCTTATTAAAATTTTTGATCGTACTTCTTTTTTTTTAATAGTTTTTTTCTACAGATACGTTTCATTCAGAGTGATATGTGGCTCAAAACGTAATACACACTCCTTAACTACCAGTCTCATTATTATTTTTTTTAAATTTCAGATAGGGTTTCTCTTTCACAAAAGATAAGAGAGAGAATGCAAAATTAGGCAAAACTTCAGAATAAACTTGATAGTTGTTGCCACAATGCGTATCTAGAAGGTCCGTAGTCAAATAGACTCAGGAGTTTTTCACTTCAGTAATGCAGAGTATCCACGGCCAAATTTTCTGAATTTCCTCTAACAATCAAAGTTATCTTTCACCGGAAATGTCCAGTTTTGTTAGGTATCTAAAATCGCTTTGAGCTCCACTAGTACTGCTACTTAAAAACAACTTTTTAAAAGGTTACCCTAAGTTAGTTTTTTCAAAAATTTACTGCGAAATCTTTTTGCTGCGTCATCTGATTTGTCTTCCGAAGAGACAAGATTTACGACTACTTTAATATTGTATTCTTCAATTAATTGTTATATCACGCTTAATCTTTTTCGAATTGACATTTCTCTAGTCGCTTTTGATCTTTCTTGCTGCATCTTTCACAGAAGTAAAGCCAATTGAAATAGCATTCACCCCATTATCCCCAATCTGTTCACCTTATTTGCTCTCCAAACCAATATTTAAAAGTGTCTATTAACATAGTTGAGACTCACAAAATTCAAACTGACAATAGAATCGTTCACGTAAAAGAACGTTCCATTCTTTTACCTAACTTTTTTTAATTAATAATGATGATCACAATGGATTTCATTGGTGCAACAGATCATTGGTGCAACGTTTCAAAACCAAGTTGTTTCTAAACAATAACTTTTGTTTTTAAATACCACAGTTTGAAACCGACAAAGATATTCCTCAGTTTTTAACTTTTATGCCTTGCG